TTTTCTTTTTGTATTCCTTCTCTTCAAAGAATCTTAGGGAAGGAGGCGGGGCTGGGATGGCTCTGGCTATAAAGTCCTCCCTCCTCCAGTGGGAGAAGAGACAAGCAGGCTCATTGGGGAGAGAGAAGCTCTTGGCTGATTGAGCAGCTCCACGGTATGTTCTCAGCTTTTGTTTTCTCCCAGCTGGCTGTGGCTTGTGCAATCTATGTGATGAGTATGGTACCTCTGGTCAGGGCATCATTTTCTGTGGAGACTTGGAATTTAGGTCCCTTCAAGAGTCGGGGGCAAAGTGCTGCTTCACAGATGATCTCCTCTCCATTTGCGTTGTTTTTATAAATGTAGGAATTTCTTCTAGAATTTCTGGGGCATGATTTTAAAATATTAATCCATCTTCTTTTTTCCTCAATGGCCCATAAAAAGTCCTCAAAATAGCTATATTAACAACTCCACATATCTATTGGGAATCATAAGTTTTCTTAATTCATCACTATGATGAGACAGAATGAACTCAAGAAGGGATGTATTCAGATTCAGAGGGATAAAATTCAAATAGCAAATTTTCTTTGCCAGTAAAAGAAGGAACGTGGGCTCTGATTGTCTTCTCTGTGGCTCTCAGCTGATTGGAATGGGCATCACTTTGCTTGTATTATTTAGAAGTCAGTGGGCAAGCAAAGGGGCTGGATAAATAATTAAAGATTTCATTTCTAGTTCATGTTAAGTCTCATGTGGAGATTCTTGAAGTTAAGATTGTAGAGTGCCAGGTGCCCTTTGCATGTGTTGTGGCCACATTAACACAGTCCTCATCGCGGCAGGAATTCTACTTTCTCAGAGTCTTGGGAGTGGGAGGGAGGCCCTTTCGAGACTGTGACTTTGTATGTATCTTCTCTGAAGTTTGGGATGAAGCTGTTCTTATCTCAGACTGTATTTCTTGTGTCTGAGTTGATGCGCTCCTTGGCACCTGGGAAGGCAGTAGTTTCCAGCCCCCTCTGAGATGTCCCTGCTGCCTGTCTTGTTCTAGAAAGATTTTGGCAATCAGCACCTTTCAGCATTGTATGCTATTGGGCTCACCCATGTCTTGCCTCTGCTCCCTAGAGGATGGGGAACCAATAATATTTTCTTGTTTTTATTTTTTGGCATGTTGAGACAGAGTCTTTATGTATCCCTGGTGCTTGATATGCAGCAAAAACTGACCTCAAACCTGCAGAGATCCTCCTGCCTCTGCCTCCTGAGTGCTGGGATCCAAGGTGTGGGCACTAAGCCCACTGGGACCAATAATCTCAAACTTCCACAAAATTTTTCATTTTGCCAGCTTTTATCCATCTGTTCAAACTTCAAACATGTTGCAAATAAAAAAAAACCAGGAAACTGTCTTCAACAACAACAAGAAATTAGAAAATTCTTAGTCTTTCTCAAAGGTGACTGACAGATGAGGGCCAAGGTAGATGGGCGTTAGTCCCTACAGGCTTGTGCACCTCTGCACACACCTCTACAGGGTTATTGCCAGAATGAGGACGGGGAGATGTCTCTGGGTGGTATCACGTGTATCTGAAGTCTATGCAAATGTCACCCTCCCTATTACAATTAATAATTGATGGAAAGGAAGAGAGGATCAGGCTGGAGTTTGGTGCCAGGCTCTCTGGAGCATTCCCAGAGCACCAACAACTGCCTCTCCCACTTGGAGTTATGTGAGAACATCTTTCTCATTTGTGTTTACCATAAAAGGAATGTAGCTGTCCATCTTTCCTGAAAACGGTATCTTAGGACCAGTTTGGTCATTGTGAGAGTCAAGCTAAGAGGCAATTCTAAAAACATGCCAAATAGCTTATTGTGTGAAGACAATAGCATCACTGATGTGTGTCTGGTTCAGAGAATGCTAGAATATTCCATTTCTAATGATGACATGGATAATTATAAAAATTATCCATAAGCATTAGTAATAAAAGTCACAGGGGTGCTGGTGAGATGGCTCAGTGAGTCAGCGTGACTTGAGCCAAGCCTGAGAATATAAATTTAATCCCCAGAACCCGCATGTTAGAAGGAGAAAATCAACTCCTGCAAGTTGTCCTCTGACCTCTATAGGCACGTTGTACACACCACACTACACACACACACACACACACACACACACACACACCACACACACACCATATATCACACACATACACACAGAGAGATGCAGACACAGACATACACACCACACACATAACACACACCCTACACCACACATGCCATACCCCATATACACACTGAGACAGACACAGCACCACACCACAACACTACACATACACACCACACACATACACCACTCATACATCCCACACACCCCACACCCACATACCATACACCACACACACAATCATACAACTCTCTTCCCCCCCCCTTTTAAAAATCTACAGTGGTCAGCCCCTTATTTAGCAACAACATAAACTTTCTAATATTTACACTTGGTAGTGTATTAGCATAGCAATAAGGACAGTCCTTATCTTCTCAAAGAGACATTGAAGTGGCACAAAGCTACTGACCATTTCAAGGCTGGGCTTGTTGAACAGCCTGCTTGGGTTGAAACCTTGCATTTTCTGCGTATCAACTGTGAGACTCTGGAAAAGTCCACTTCTCTGTGTTTTGTTTTCCATATCAGGGGATCAAATGGGAAGGCTGTCAAGAGCTTAGCACTGAGTCTGGCACACAGTACTCGGGGAGTGTAGCTGGCATTTGAATGGGTCCCTGTGCTAGCTGGTGGAGTTTGTGTTTCATATTCTAGAATGTATACATACCATTCATTGTTCTTGAGTCCAAGTTAACTGTAGAAGAACCCTGATGTGAAATTTACACAAGGCTGCCTCTTCAGGTCTCAGCAATTATAGACTGTGTTTTCGAAAGATTTGATTACATGTTCTATGAACTCATTAGTTCAGTCTAAGGATGGATGGATGTTCACTGTCTAATCTGGAGTTCTACAAGTGTGATTTGGAACACAGCAGTACCTGAAAACTCATTCCCAGAGTACTGGAAGGTGAATCTAGAGCAGTGGTTCTCAACCTGTGGGTCTCAACCCCTTTAGGAGTCCCATATCAGGTACCCTGCATACCAGATATTTACATTACAATTCCTAATAGTGGAAAATTACAGATATGAAATTGCAATAAAATAGTTGGGAGCCACAACATGAGGAATTGTGCTAAAGGGCCACAACCTTAGGAAAGTTGAGTGCTGCTAGATTGGAGTCTCAGATTAGTCTGTTGAGTGAACCCATGATGTAAACCTCTGCTGTCTGAGTGGGAAGTTGGACAAACTGCTGTCTCTGGCTTAGAGTCACCCCCTCCTCTGGGGAAGGGAGGGAGCATCTTCATGACCTATTATGAAGTTGTGGGAAATATATTCTAAGAGCCGACCTTGATTATAATTTTTTTACTGAGGTAACTTACTGGGCACAAGGAACCCACTAAATGCACTAGATTCCTCAGAAATCTCTGAAAGGACTGTAAATCTAAGTAATTGAGATATGGAAGAAAATATAGAGTCAAAAGTTTCACAGAGTTAAATAAACTCTAGAACTGGCTGAAACCCCTACCCCCATGGGTCTGCCTTTAAGGTACATTCACTGAAACTTAGATGTAGAGTGAAAGTCTCAGCTTTACTCAGCGTGTTGTAGGAAACAGGCACATTTTGTCTGTGCCCCAGGAACTACTTGATTGGCGTTGCAGGCATTACACGGTAGGAGCTGTAGGAATTATAAACTTATACCAAGGATGCTTCCGACCATGAGACTCAGAATGTTGAGACAGTTTTCTCTTAATTTACCATCTTATTGGGAAAAATATTGCAGGGAAGTGCTATGTATCTTTCACTCACACCCTCCAACTGATGGCATCACACACAACTACTGGATTTTACTAGACCCAGGCCAGGGAACTGATGCGGGTACCTGTTATAGACATCACTAAAGCTCCCACATTTTTTCATGCACTCATTAGTGTGTGTAGTTTTATCAGGTGATCATCAAGTTTTGGAATTGTCCCATCTGTTGAAAAGGCCCTGATGCTGCTCTTCGCAGTCACACCCACCCTCCCCCTCCACCTGCCCCAGTTGTAGTGCCACACCTCCTGGGCAGAATGTAGTGAGGTGGTCAGGATAGATGACACAGAGACCAGTCGGTTGCATTAAGAAAACTTTATGCTCCCCAAATCGGCTTAGGAGAACTTCCCAAGAAAAACGCTTCCCTTCAGAAAAACTTCTGCCATCCATACACTCACAAATCTCCAACAGACCTCTCACACCTCTCACAGACTTCTCCTCCCTCCTGGCTGGTGGTTAAATCTCTGGCCAGAATCTGGAACAGCAGGGAGTAGCTAGCCATCAAAGTCATGGTGTTTCAGTGAGCCCTTATCGGAGTCCTTATCAGGAGCTTATGGCACTGAATTGTTTTCAGTAAACATGTTTTCAGTAAACATTGTCTGCCTGCTCCCAGGCTGATGGAGGGGTGGGTTTCTGGCCAGGGTCTGTGATCCCCACACTGTAGTTCTTAAGCTGGTCTTAGAATGGGGGCAAGGTGGGCTTGGTGCACTTCCCCAGCTCTTCAGAGCCTGCAGTTGGCCATGCTCTTCTGAGGCTGGAGGAAGCCTTCCTTCATAGTCAAGTCTCCCATTCATGTCTTTCTGTTTACTTCCTGTCTTTGCATTATAGAATCATTTATTTAGCATAGCTCTGTGGGGATTTCTCCTTCTGTATCTCCTGTATACAGGACGTTTGCTCCTAAAATGATGGTTCTTTATGTGAATCTCTATGTTCCCCATGCTTCACCAGTGATTGCCACAGCTGGGCCACCAAGAGCATGGACCCAGGAACTCCCATCCCTGTTGGGTAGATTGGAATCTATATGCAGAGTCTCACACCCATTGCTGCTCATGTTCTGCCTTCCTGGTTTCCTTCTGGAATCAGTGTTGATCATGCAGGACACTGTGGGCAGCCATCAGTTGCCATCTCAAGTGCTTTCTCTGATTTGACACCGACCATGACTTGACACTGGCCATGTGATGCTGCCAGTCTTTGCCATGTCTATAAGGGTACCAACTTCATGTAGAAATGAGAACCAACAGCAAGCAGTTCTGAAAGGCACTTTGTTCGAAGATCCTGTGTTCTGCTCTGAGCTACCATATCCCCTCTCTTTCCTACAGTTGTCTCTGTGACCTGTTATGGATCTGAAGAAACAATCTTGTATGAGATCACCCATGCCCAGGGGAGGCTATAATCAGAAAACAGCAATATGATTTCCAGGAAACAAAAACAAACTTGAGTTTGCACGTAGAAGACTTTATGATCAATATGAAAATTTTAGACCTATTTCTAGCCAGAATCAATAAGATATTAGCCCTGATAAACAAAGGACAAAAGCATAAATGTGGTACAGAGAGAACAGCAATGAGGCTGCCCATAGAGCTTACAGGGTCCAAAAATATAATCAAGTTTGTAGTATTGGAGGTAAGTACAGGTCAAGTTGTCCATTTGGGAACTTTTAAAAAACCCTCACACTGATACCAACCTCCTAGTATGCACGTTTCCCATCATGCTCCATTGAAATCTTTCCCATGGTGTTTTCTGATGGTGATGGATGAGTCCAGGGTGGGTCAGTCAGGAAGGAAGCACCACGCCTGCCAGTAAAGCCAAGAGAAAAAGTTGTGAGAGTAGATGATGCAGAAATGACCATTAATTGGAAGATAATATTTCTTCTCAATGGTAAAACATGTAACAAGAATAGATGAATCATATGTTGGGTCAAAGTCAGATGAAGTTGAGCATTGTAGTAAAGTGTCAAATGTTGGGGTAATTGGCAGACAAAAGTACCAGCTGCTATTTTAGAGATTAGTTAGGGGCACATGGTGAGAATATAGGTACCTTGTGAGTTCTATTCCCCTTTGCCTTTGTTAACTCTGAATCAGATGCCTTAGGGGTCCTTGCCCTGGGGTTACACTGTGGTGTTTGGTAGTCTCGTAGCCATTCTTGGTATGATATATATATATTGGTTTTACGAGACAGGGTTTCTATCGTTTTGGAGGCTGTCGGTCCAGCCCGGCCTCGAACTCACAGTGATCCACCTGCCTCTGACTCCCGAGTGCTGGGATTAAAGGCATGCACCACCACCGCCCGGCATGATATTGTTTTTAAGAGATGATTATATTTGATAAATCAAGGACTCTGGAAGTGACTGTTAAAGAATGCAGTGGTAGACGGGCTTCTGAGATTCCCCAAGGATACCCATCTCCCAGTTTTCAGTTCTTATTGGCCCTCTCCTTGAGTGGGGGCAGAACCTAGAGTTTCACTGCCCATCACAAGGATATAGGAAATATGATGGGTTGTCACTTTTATGGTTGGGTAATACAGAATTGTGAATTTGTCTTGCTATCATGTTTTCTCTGTTACCTTCTTAGCCATTTGTTTCAATAAAGCAAGTTGCCAAGTTAGAGTGGCCCTTATGGTCAAGTCACCATGAAGGAGACACCCTCGTAAAGCAGTCTCCATGTTGGAAAGACCTACTCAGAGCTGTCTCCATGTTAGAGAGGCCACAGGGACCAGTTTCTATGTTGGAGAGGTCCATGTAGAACAGTTATCATGCTGGAAAGGCCCACATAGTGGAAACCTGATGGTGTTCTCAGGCTCACAGCTGAGAAGAGCCTGAGATCCTCAGCTGAACAGCACTTAAGGGGTCAACTCCTGCTAAAGACAACTTTCTTCATTGAGTCTAATGGGTGATACCCTCCACCCCACTCACAGAACCCCTTCCCTTCTCTTACTGGCTCCTCTGCTCTTAATCTCTCTGCTTCTGGTCATTTAGGATGCAAATCTAATCAGGTTCTTCCAACAACTTATATAGTACCAACCCTACCCAACAACTTACTTTCCATTATGTATCTTTTTCACTGTACTTAGACAGTCCCAACACTAGTTTAGTAATAATGATACAGCTCTGACACTGATGCCATTCAAACACTGTCACATCTGATGCATAAGCATTATCTTTGATTCTCACTGTAAACACGCAGAGCTGGGCTCAGCCTCAGTAACAAGAAGACTGAGGCTTGAGAAGCTGTGTTAGTTCCTGAACACCAGAGAGCCCAGCATCAGCCTGGTTTATATTCAGATCGACAAGCCTTTGCTTTGGCTTTTTTTCTGTATTGTGGGAGCTCTTTCTCCCTCCAGCATTCTGCCGGAGTAGTAGATGTCTGACTTCCTCTTGACATATGGCTTTCATTGCTATGGCAAAGTGTGTCTCCCATTTATCTATGAACTTTTGAATCCTGGGGATGAAGAACACCAGAGCTTTCATGTTTCATTCCCATCCTTATGACTTAAAAATACTTATTTGTATTTATGTTTACATATGTATGTCTGAATGAATGTATATGCACTTCACGTGGACAGTGTCTATGGAAGTCAGAAGAGGCTATCAGATCTATACATGATGTTTCCTTGGGTAAAGTAGTGGCTCCCTCTCCATTCCAAGAGACAAGAACTACAGGCGTGCCTCTGGTAGTTACATGACCAGAGCAAATGGGCAGAGTGAACCAAGGGCTCCAGGGTAGATGTTTGCATCTATATCCTTATGCAAAAAGAAACATTTAGAAACACACACACACACAACGAGGATGCTCTGTTCCTATTAATATGGACAGGGTCCCTGAAGGGACTCTTTTGAAGTGACCTCTCTGGCTGCTGAGTGAGTCCCCAAAAGCTTGTGCTCTGGAAACACTTGTGGTTCTCTTCAGCCATTTATTTTCAATTTCTCATGTCTCCCATCTACCCCCGAGATGCCTCCTGGTTCCTGTACTATTATTGTTAACATTATTATATTCTGATATTTACCCTGGACTTTGTCTCCCCTTATCTGTTAGTTTTCTTTCCCAAGACTCGAATTTGGCAGTTCCCCTTTGGAGCAGAGAGACCCATCGTGTCCTCCGCTCTTCCATCTCTGTTCTCCTCTCCATGTGCTCTGGAGACAGAGACCTTTGTGTTGCTATCTTTACTCTCTCACCTCCTGTCTCCTAGAGGAGAGGGATCAGCTAAAGTCAGGGGCTCTCTTCAACTTACCCAGATCCAAGATGCTTTCCTTTTCATTAAAGACTTTTCCCAGGTGGCATACTCGATATATTTCATTTGAGAAAACATGAGAAGTTTAGGGGATAAAATTAAAATCATGCATAGCTCTACGCCCCACTCTGCCCTCACAGCAGAGGCTAGCGCTTTGATGGCTCTGGATCCATGGGTTTTTGAATGCTATGCGTGATGCATTTGATAGCTGCCTTGACAGCAAGCATGCTGCCTTACTTACCTATGTAGAGCAACTGTGTCTGGAAGCATCCATTTAAGGTCACAGGAGTAATTTGAGCACAAGTGCAAAACCAGAATTTTGTTGTTATTGTTGTTACTTCCTTCATCTTGATCTTTTCCTACTTGCAAGAAGCCCTAGCAATTTTCCCATAACACTGGTGCACTCCTGTCATGGCATCATTATCTTTTCTATTCTGTGAGAAACATTCTTCTAGTGGTGGCAATGTAGGTTGTTTTCAGTTTTTCCAGTGGCAAATAACTCACTGGTGAACATCTTCCAAGTGTAAACTCTGTGTGTGTACACGAATTCACACTCATGTTTGTGTGGGTACACATGGGCACACATGTGGATGTCAGAGGACAGTCTGTGGTGTCAACACCCAGGCATGTTTCATTGTCTATTTGAGATGAGGTCTCATTGGCCCGGAAGTTCACCAAAGATCTGCTTGTGTCTGCCATGGGTATCTTGCTCTTGGTGTGACTACTGGAGCACACTACCACGGCTAGCTTTTGAATGTGCTTGCTCAGGACCTAAACTCAGGTCCTCACACATGGGAGGTAAGCACTTTACCAGCTGTGCTGTCTCTTCAGGCACTGGGATACCATCTTTTTATTGTTTGAAAATTTCATGCAAATGACATTTTTTAATAGAACTCACCCCAACTCTCTCTCCTCCAACTATTCCAATGTTGTTCCCTTTCGGTTCCCTCCCAACTATATGTACTTTTAAAGACTCACGTCGAGTCTGCACCAGGCTGTCAGTATGTATGTTCATGGTGTAGGGGCCATCCACCAAAGTACAGCTACCACGGGATGCATTGCTGATGAAAACTAAATCTAACTTTTTAAATGGGTTTCTGATTCTTTCATCTAGACTCCCTAAAGCCAATAACGATAATTTTTAAAGTTTGCTATGCTTGTAGCAAGACTTCAGCTTGCTATGCCATCACTAATGACTTTGCAGGAATTAAAGCAGTTTTTATTCCACCTTCCACCCCTGATCCTCATCCCTACTGTCCGAGTGTGTCTGCCCCTCACTTTCTTCCTGACATACAACACTACCATCCACAAATCTCCCTGTTGGTGCCTCATTGTTGATGAAGCCTTCCTGTTTGATTTCAAGGAGGCTGAACAATTTCTATGTTGATTAGAGATCGTATCCCTTGTCATGAATTTAGAGTTCAGTCTTTCATCCATTTTTCCAGCAAGTTCAGGGTTATTGGATGTGGGTGGGGTTTGGGGATGGATATTGATCGGATGTGTTTCTGTCCCCTCCAAGGCCCAACTTTCTTTCTTTCTGGCCTTTCTGGTTTTTGTCAGGCTTTCGAGTTCTCTCTCCTTTGGGTGAGTCTAAGCCTTTATCCTTCCCTGTGGCTCTCCTAGGGTTCTCTCTTCTCAATCCCTCTCCAGGCTTCTGGGAGCTCTCTTGGGACTTCTTCCAAAAGTTTGTTTTATTTTTCACAGCAGAATGTATCTAGAGGATCAATAAACACTGCACCTGTACCACATGTTGCATGAGACATCATAAAAAGTGTCTGAGGTCAGAGACCAATGCCTGGAAGAAGTGGGATAGGCCTGCCAGCTGCCCGGCTTCCATGGTTTGGTGGAGATGTGGTCTCCAATGCAAAAGCACACCTTTTCTTTCTGGGCCAGTAAAGTTTCTCATCGCGAAGCAAATGAAATTGCTTCCCAACCATCTGGGCCCCACTCAGAAGCAATTCGCTGTATGAGAGGCATCTTGAATGCATTGTAGGGTTGGTTTGCGGTTTTGCAGTAATGTATGTGAAGTACCTATTAATACTCTGTGCAGTTCTTTGAAATGTCTTGGGGGAGAAGTAAAAGAGGCGCTTAGTACTTTAACCAGTTTGGGTTGCACACTCTGAGTGGGTTCTAGGAGAGTTCCCGAGAACTGTGGCTCAGGAGAGTTTGTGGCTGGCCTGGGAACATGGATCTTGGATGGAGGATTCAAGGCCATGGAGCTGTGGGGCCAGAAGCACTGTACAGGTGAGTGGTGGGTAAACTCGTGTGCTAGATGTTTCTACACCCAGAGGGTACAAGACGTGGCATGGCGGTTGTCCTGAAGGATTTGTGAGGTAGTTCCGATTCACCCAGCTGACTCATCCAAGGAATGTGTGCATGGGTATGCTTCATGCACATTGTCAAGTCCTAGACAACTAGTAGTGAACAGGACAGGCCTCAGTGAGCCAATGGAGGCCAGGAAGATCAGTAAATGAGTTTTGTGGTGGCTTGCTCCAAGAACACATGAACAAATTGCCCCAGCCTGGGCTTCCTGGAAAATCTACCCAAAGGATGGACTTTGCAAACTGAGCCCTGGAAGATGAGCAAGGGATGCCCAGATAAAGGGGATATGGGGAAGAGGATTCTAGATGGGAATGGAAAAGGAGGGACCCAGGAGAGGAGCAGGGCCCTGGGTGGCTACTGCCGCAATTGCAGAGCCTCAGGAGGCAGAAGTGGAGGCATGTCCAGGATGCATGTGGTGCCTAGAGGAGGAGGCAATGAGGAGTAAGGGTGTCTATGGAGGATGGAGACTTTGTTCTGGAAATGTCTGTTTGCTGCATTCACAGGTCATGTGGTCTGGTGAATGAGTTTTGTCTGGAGTTTGGGATGCAGGTGAGAGTTTAGGAGACATGAGGGAATGGGTCTCTTGCAGCAGAGATGAGGGACTTCAAGTGAGAAGAGTGAGAAAGGCAGGAGCCCCCTCAAGACAGATGAAGGTCCCTGGTGCCCACACTGGCGGGAGGTGACTGATGACGGTCCCTGGTGTCCACACTGGCGGGAGGTGCAGGTATCCCTGAGGCTCACACACCTGCTTCAGGGTTTCAGGGAGACCTGGGCATGTGACCTTCAGGCCTCGCTTGATTGGATCAGAACCAAGATCCTGTCTCCACGCGGTGGCCATGATCTGACTGATACACGATGTCAGAGGCTGGCAAGCTGGCTCAGTGAGTGAAAGTGCTTGCCATGTAAACCTGAGGACCCGAGTTCAGTTCTTGGAATGCATTGTGGAAGGAAAGAACCTACCCTTTGAAGTTGGCCTCTGATCTCCACATGTGCCCTGGAATGTGCATGCTTACACACACACACACACACACACACACACACACACACGAGAGAGAGAGAGATACACATAGTAATTTTTAATATATTTTTTAGTGCTAGCCATTTCACATTCATCAACCAAGTAGACAATTAGTGGGTGGTGCTCTGGGGTGGATCCAATAGACAGTTTGTCTTAGGAATGCTGTAGTCATAAAATGCTGTCATGCACGTTGCTACCATAGGGTGGCAGTACTGAGGCATGAGCGTGGGGGGCAGACACAGTGCTGAAGGACAGAAATGCCTGCTGAGTTTTGGAGGATGAAAAGTAATAGGTGCAGGGTAGATGATGCTGATGAGCCGAATGAAACATGGTACACTGCTCATGGCAAAGAAACTGGGGTGGCAGGAAGGGGCGCCAGGGTGCACGCTTCCAGGGAAGCCCTTTTACGCTCTGTAGCTCACTTGTCCTCTAATCTCCACAGGAAAGATGTCCTTCGAGGGAGCCAGGCTCAGCATGAGGAGCCGCAGGAACGGGACTTTGGGCAGCACCCGGACCCTGTACTCCAGTGTGTCTCGGAGCACAAACGTGTCCTACAGTGACAGTGTAAGTTCATACTGAGCCCCCTGACGAAGTTGGGGTTATTTAGTGACCAATTTGCTGTCTTTAAAAAGATAATCTCTCATGTCCTGACTAGTATTTGTTTTATGAGTTATTTTTTGTAGAATGTAGAAGCATGTTCATTGCTGCATTGTATTTCAAGCATTTCTCTTTTAAGATGACAATTATTTTAATAAGTCATTAGAAAAAAATTTAAACACTGTGTTTCTTAAATCATATTTTTTCTGGTAAAATTTGAGGAATTCATATGTGTACACTATATTTATATCATCTCCATTCCCTCTCTTTCTCCTCCAACTCTTCTGTCCCTCTCCATAACCCCTTATTGAATTCATGAGTTCTATATTGATTTGTGTGTGTGTGTGTGTGAGAGAGAGAGAGAGAGAGAGAGAGAGAGACTTATTGAGTCTAATTAGTGTTGATGCCTTATTTGCACGGATTTCCCTCTCCCAGCAGTCACTGACTGCCTGTAACTCTTCTTCTATGGGTGGGGCTTTATGAAATTTCCTTCATCCATGTTGGCATGTTGATTAGTGTGGACTTTGCAGGTTTTGTGCAGGCAGATGTGTTGTTGAGAGTTCATGGGAGCAACATCTCGGTCCTGATCAGGAGATGTTTATTATCATGCAGCAGACATTCTGGGCTTCTGGTTCCTACCATCTTTTCACTCTGCCTTCTGATGTACACCAGGTGTTAGATGTAGTTATTGTATGTAGATGCCCTATCCGGGACTGGGCAGCCTGGAGTCATTTATTCCCTTCATTTTCATCATGTTTTTGGTGTTGATTTCACTACCCATAATTGATGCTTTCCCTCTCGTCCTGTGGGTTAGGGACCGAGTTGTGACACCCATGTCCTTGACTCAGTTTGGTTCCTTTTGCAGTGCTCTTGCCTCCTGGTTGCTTCCTCTGGCCCATCTGTCCTCATCCTGAGCTAGCACTGACCGTGACCACAGGTGGTGGCTTCTTATTGGAACCAGCTTAGTGGAATACCAGGAGGCTATCTCTGCTGAGTTTTACTCCTGTCTCACGTGGTTCCCTCTGGCCAGCTCTCTATACTGTCAGGCTTGACACACACTTGTCAGAACACTGTAGTCTGATGTCTGGCTTTCACTGACTACAGCATTAAGATTTGGGATAGAAGTCAGCTTTATAAAGGAGAAGAAATGGGGGCAGGGGGAGGACAAGCCAAGGTACCAGCCATGCCATCATTTTCATGTGACTGATCGATGGTGTGGATCACTGAGCTGTCAACAAACTCACGAAAGGGAGCAGTGAAAGCCCATGCCTTCTTCCAGATGAGACCTACCCTCCACGGCTGGAATGAAGGGAAGAGGTGCTCAGGACCGTTGCGTGCTATTCCTAATCTTTTACACTCTCAGGACTAAGTGCTCCCCACCTTTAGAGTCCGCCACATGTCTCACTTTAGTGCTGCTCCATGACAGAGTGGACAAAGGCAATGGGGACCTCTCCAGAATTTTCAGGACTTTCCTCTTCCTTCTCCTTCGACCCCAAGCACTACTCTCTCCAAAGAACCCCTGGCCTCAGGCACTAGTACCCATGAAAGTGGGGTGAAGGCTGAGACCTTCAGCTTCCTGGGGTCCTGTTGGCCTCCTGAGCACACACATACCTCTCAGAGGGAGGTTTTTTAAAAAGCAATATATATCTTAAAAAACAATCACCCCCTCTTCCAGGATCATTCCATATCTGGTACAGCTATTGAGTTTCTCCATATTGGGAACACTAAGAATCATCTAAGAGGATAAACATTCCTATGAGGAAAACTGGGCATCACAGAGTTTCCAATGCTCCCTAAGCAGAGAAACATAGGAACTATGTTTATCCTAAATTTTCTTGAGGAATTCACATAGAAGGGATGTAGCTTCCAAGCTTCTAGAAAAAGCTGTCACCATGACTACCTGGGATCCCCTTCAGTCTGAGCTGCAGAGTGCTTCAAATTGCCCAGGTGACAGCCCCTGCCCAGGTGTCTTCTCTCCTGCACAGGTCGCAGTCACTGAACTGTGTGTCACCTAGTCTTTGTGTGACTGCTTGTGCTGCGTGGCTCTGTCCCTGCTTGATCCAGGTGCAGCTGTCTACTACAAGGGCTCTTCTGCAAGGTCTTTATTTTTCACTTAACACTGCTGCTTTGGGGGTCGGTCTATGTGGGTGCATACAGCTGCTGTGAATTTTTTTTCCTATGTGGAACTCTACTAAGGACTTCCATTTACCCAGTCTCAAAGAGACTGATGCTTGGGTTTCTGCCTTTGATGTTGGAAGTGATACTACCCAGTGTTCTTGGATGTGTACACCGGATCTATCTGAAAAACCAGACTGTCTTTTGAGTTGAGGACTGACAGTTGAAGGTGGAATGTCTCCTTCAGTGGGTCTGGGTTTAAGCATTGAGATTTATGGGGCTACATGTTCAAAGGGTGAGAAAGGAGGCAAGGGTCCCCAGTGTTTGATACCAGAGGACTTTTCAGTACAGCAGTTGGGGATGCAGGGTAAACTCCAAAAGGAGAGGAATCCCACCTTTTGCAGTGGGTTTCTAGTACTGGCTATGCTGTAGGGGACAAGAAGTTAGGGCTGGCTTCAGAGCCAGCCTGTCTTGTGAGGCCACCAATGGGGGCAGTGGTCTGAGGGCTTCAGCTGCCAGCACCTGATGACTTGCAATTGATTGGAGCTTCCATGGATGGGAAGCTTCTAGCAGCTCCACATCATCAGGGCTAGACATCTCTGAGGATGGAGCTCCGTGGATTGAGAGAGTGCCGGTGGCTCATGGGAAACCATTCTCTCCACTGCTTGTCAGAGAAATGGTTTCATGTGTAATAGTCCTGATTAGTACCAATTTACTCTCTCACCCATTGGGGTCCTTCACCTTCCTTCTCGTCTCCAATGGCTGTCAATTGTCATTTTGTTTTAAGTTTTGTTGACCTGGTGAGTGTAAAATGGCCTCTCCCCGTGGTTGAACTTTTCATGTGTTTGTGGCTTTCGTGTGGGCTCTTTTTCCCCATATCTGTTCTGTCTCTTGCTCTTTTCCCATTGGGCTACCTGCTTTGTTTTTGCTGATCGACAGTCCTTTTGTGTCTAGGACACTATCATATGTAACTACTACAAATTCTCTCATTGTGAGTAATGTGTTTTCAAATGTCTTGCTCTACCAACATAAGAGACATCTTTGATTTATAAATGCTTGGGCTGATTCTTTGGACTAGTTCTCAGTTATGGCCAATCACCTTGCCCACAGAAGAATGAATACAAATGTAGGACATTTTGGAAAACATTCTCCTTTTTAAAAACCAGGCAGAAGAAGGATGAAAATATACATTGATAGTTTTTTTCAATCCCAAACTATCATTCAACGGTTCCCTGGTAACTGTGCAGACAGACAAGACTGTCTGTGTGTGTGTGTGTGTGTGTGTGTTGCCATTTATATACAAGACAACTCTAAGCAACTCTTGGAAACACTTTCATTTAGTTAACAGTTTAAATGTATTTGTCATTAAAAATAACCTCAGAGTACACTAGAAGAAACAAAAAGGATGCCATGACAACCTTTGAAGGAGGGCTAGGACATAGTATTCATTAATACCAACTGGTCTGAGAACCAACAAGTAATGCATTACTCCATATTTTTTCTTCACAGGATTTGGTGGATTTTATTCAGGCAAATTTTAAAAAACGAGAATGTGTCTTCTTCACCAGAGACTCCAAGGCCATGTGAGCTGCAGCTTTCCCCCATTTGCTTCTGTGTTTCAGAGTACACTGTCGCCGATTGTTAGCACAGTGAACAGACTCCGTGAGCTCATTACTGGAGGTGGTTGCATCTCAAAAGTCCCTGATGGCGTGTGATTAAGATGAATTTGACATGCTCATACTGTTCCCTGGTTTTGTCCTTCCCTGATGTCTTTTAGCTTTGGCAATATCACAGTTGGTAAAGTCACTGAGAGGGACTGTCACTCCCTTCAGTATTCCCATGAGCCTGGGATCCACCCCATTGGACAACACTTAGCAGTCACTTCCACACATATGTTCCTGTACAATCCGAATGTCCCTTCTTGACAGCTATGGTCTTTGGGACTTCTCTTCTAAATGGGTGCTCCCCTACTCCAAGTCTCCTGTGCTTGGGGGGTCATCTGGCTATCAAAGAGACCCCACAAACCCAACACACAGGGGTCTTTCGTAATGTTAGTGAACAGGCGAGAAAACGAATGGGTTTGGTCCTGTGTGATACAAGACAAGGGACTCAACTGAAGTGGCAAGCAGTACTGACACCCTGTGTTGCTGTTACTGACAAACTAGGGCCAAAGATCAGTGCTGAGACCCTGGATTTACCAAACATGTGTTAAGCCCTGGTGAACCTTTTCTTTCATGGCAAGCAGATGTCTGTTTCTTAAGTAGTCCCTGGAGGAGAATGCTGGAACTTCTCCTCTGCTGGGCATCTTTGAAACATTGTTAGCAGCTATCTGCTAACACTCTTAAAGTGGCTTTCTCCTGGATCCTGTTTGTTCTCTTAGCTCTCACTTCCTTGTCCATGTTGAGTCCTGTGTGGAAACAGGAAGCACACTGTCTGCAATCATAGCTCTTTGCAACAAAGCTTTTTGTGCATCAGTGCTACCAGCATGGCCAGTGTTGATCTTTTGAAATGTGGCTAATGCCATCAAGGAACTCCCAGCTTTCATTATTCTTCATTCAACTACAAAATCAAATAGCCACGCATGGTTCATGGCCACAATAAAGATGAGTGTAGCTCTGTGGGATTCAGAACTTTGGTCTAAAGATGTGAATTAAGATGCCAGTGCCCTGCCCCCAAACTTTTCCAGCTCTCCTCTCTGCTATCCCTGCCCCTCCTCCACATGTCTATACTACCAATTCTTTTCCCTGTTTCTAAACAATCCATGCATATTGGTTCTTGGAGGACTATCAGTCCAAAAAAGAGCCAGGCAACTTTCTTGGTCAATAGGTCATTTAACTTTTACCCCTATCCTTGGCAGGGAAAAGGGCTCAGGAGTCTATCTTCAGCTGTAGGACAAGTGGGGCATCTGCCGACCTACCGTGAGCTTGGTTGGCTGGGGACATGTGCCAAATGAGAGTGGGATGATAGGAAGCAGTGACAGAGCAGAGGGGGGCATGACAAGCAGCCTTGCCCAGGGAAGTCCCCCAGGACTTGGTAAAAGAGGGTTGCAGAAATGGCTCAGTCCCAGCAGACTCCTTTTTTTCTTGGCTAAGTTGAGTGAAGCTCCCTGGGGGCTGTGAAAGCAGAGGCAAGGATCCTGCCAGTGGGATGGTACAAGGTCTAGTCTGTAGCTTGTTTTTCGTTTAATTGTAGAAAAACATTTAATATTTTCACAGATACTTTGAATCAGAAATTTCTCACACTGCAGCTATTAAGGGTTTCAGTTATAGAGTTCAATGAGTTGAATTGAAAAGGGGACTGACTGACCTTGAGAAGACAAGAATGCCACCTAATAGCAGGCAGTAGCTGAGTCTCTTGAGTAGTTAGAAGCTGTGGCTAGGTTTGTGAGAACTCAGGAAGTCCTCTCTACCCCCTTCTTGTCTCCATTCCTCCCTGCACCCACTTCCTCCTCCTTCCTTGGTACCCACAGGACTTTTGTATGACCTGGAGGGAGAGGAGAACAGATCTGTTCCTGATTGTGATTTTGTTCCCAAATTTCCAAGAAAGGGACACCAATGTCAAAATTGTCACTGGGCTTGTTGACTGTGGGCAGATGCTCAGGATTCTGGTGCCTTAACAGGGTTACCCTGATGTAACTATACAGACGGTGTTGGGGAACAATGGCAGTCAAGTGTGTGCTCCCCAGCAGGAGCCTGCAAAAGGAGGCAACAGTTTCCTGGGTGAGAGCAGCTGCTGGTGAGGATTCCTGATGAGATGCCTTTGCTCCTCATGATAGTCTTTCCCTTGAGTAGCTTTGGTGGTAGCCTGGTCTCAGTACTTCACAGGGAGTGCTAGTAACAGAGAAGCCAGGGGCCCCCTAGAATGTAGTTCTAGAGATCGATGCTTCCCGGCAGTAGAAATGGGCAGTTCGGTTTCACAGGTCATCTACTTCTGGAGTGGTCATGATCCTTGCCTACCAAGCTGTGAACTTCTTTGTTGAGTCTTTAGAAGGAGTCACAGAAACACATCTCACCCTCATTACCTCGTAATGAAAACATGACCTACTGCCAGAGAGCAGTCTTCGGGTTCGTCCTACATTTTGTTATTTGCCAGACAAACTCCATGGTGGTGAAGACCTTGAAACACAGAGCTTCCTATGTCTATGACTGTCCTGTGTATGCATCCTTCTATCTTGGAAGAAAAACCAAAATATCTACTTTATGCATATCATTGAGAATGGTTGCAGATATAAATTATTTATAAGACTGATGTCATTCCTATTTTTTCATCCATTTACAGTGTTTTCTAGATGCCATTATATTTTTGGATGGAGAGTATAAAGTATAGAATCCAGCCAGAAACAACCTATACAAGATTTTCTCAGTTGACATATCTTTATCTGACTCAGTGTGTTGTCGGATTCTTTGCTCCAGGATCACCTTGTACAGTTGACTGAGTGTGTTAGAAGTAGGTGGATCTTTTACACTGTCTCCATACTCTGGAATAGGTCTGCATCTTTGGTCATACACTTTATTGTGAGGATGGAGACACTGGTAACAGTGAGAGACACTGATCCTTTTAGCTTTGAGCAAAGATTATAAAATAGGACATTAGACTTTTGGTCATCCATGATGATGGTGGATGACATTGTCTAGTTCCATTGTTCCTTCGTTCTGTCCTTCTGGACTGCTGCATTGGTCAAACATGGGCTGTGTTTGCAGGTAGTTTTTACTACACATTTACTTCTTTTTGGTTGTTAGTCCTTCATTGTTCTTTGACTTACATGCATGCACCACCCTGAACTAAAGGTCTTTTGGCAGAGCTTGCACTGTGCACTAGGCCCACTGGATGTCTCATAGCATTTTGAAAACCTCACAGCAAGCAGGGAAGGAGAGGGACTATGCTAGGACCAAAGGAGGCATTTGGTTGGTTCCCCCAGGCTCTTTGCCAGATTTGTACTTAGCTGCCAACTTGAGGGCAGGAAATCACATTGGCCTCAGCTTGGTAGGTTGCAGATGTTATTTTAGCATAAGCCCTGTTCTCAGACACTTGGTGAATGATTACAGTGTTACAGAAGGAGAGGGAAGGCTGTACTACTTACTATGTGTCCCCTTATCCTCTTTCAGCTTCCTATCATGTTTGTGTGTCACCTAGTGGACGTTAATATTGAATTCTGTTGTACTCTCAGTGGGAAGAACTAATGTTCACTTCAGCAGTTTCCCTTGTCTGGACCAAACTATTACTGGCCCAAAGTCATCAAAGCAGTTAATATCTGGTAGAGAAAGATAGTTTCTAAGTTCTGGAGAACTTTGGGCATCTTCCAGGAGACAATGTCTCCCCCACGAGTATAGCTCTTGGGAAGAGCTTACCTCTCCTCAGAATTGCATGAGTTGCTGGGTATCCAGAGAGGCTGACACTAAATCACCGATGCCTACATGTTCCTGGGCTCCTGTCAGTTGGCTCAGATCCAAGTGAGAAGCTGAGTAAATGTTCCCAGATTCCTGAGTTCCACCTCTTACCAGCTTCGTGGCTTCCCACACACCTAATGGGCTCCATGAGGGCTGGGATCTGCACTCTGCCTCTCTGCAACCAACACAGGGCAAGTTCAATGCAAACAGATCATTTAGCAATGAGAACAAAACATCAAACCAGTTTCTAGACAGCCAATCGAGATGGGGGACATGGTCTGGGAAGACGAGACAGTGGTAGAGTTTCTTCTTGTGTTGGTTGACGTTTATAGTGCATAGTTTATCCTAAGATGTCACAAGTAGATGAAAACCTGTTGCTTCCCCCAAAACATGGCCGACACAGGGAGAGCATATGCAAGTGTGGCTATGCCCAGAGCCAGCACATTGAAGGTACCCAGATAAACCAAGATGAGAAGTGGAACTACAAGAAACATACCAAGGAGTTTCCAACAGATGCCTTTGGTGACATTCAGTTTGAGACTCTGGGGAAGAAAGGCAAGGTAAGCACCTGTGTTCTACTAACATATGTGCTAAGAGCTTGGACTGCCCTAGTTGTGTTGAGTTGTCCCATAATATAGAGGTGGGGAGGGGGATTGGCAATTACCAACAATAAGAAAAGAAAAGTGGTGAAAGACAAAAGACAGTGACTAGATTGTGCTCAGAAAACTCAGGAGTTAAGGATGGCATCATGACTGGAACTGTAGTCTAGTCATATCATGGGTCCCGGTGACATCTACTGAGCCTAACTGTTTTAGATGGGAGCATACTTTTGTGAGTAGTCCCTTTAGTTTGGGACAGTGTTTCTGAGGATATACTGTAGCTCCAACTAAGGTGACATTTCTTTATAGCCATGATTTTACAGGAGTCTTTCCATCAGAAACTGGTCTTCCTCAAGTGTTTCAATGCTCTGTTTCAATGATAGCTCAGTCCTCAGGCCGGATGTCTGGACTTTGACCCCATGAGTCCCCAAGCCCTGTCTTGGTAGTCCTTGAGCACACTCAGCTCCTCCCATTGTCTGGAGCTCTGCTTCATGATGGGTCAGTGAGTCTCTTCACAGGCTGCCTAACTCCTAGACTGATCCAGGTGTGCCAGGATAGCAGTTTGAGGACCCCTTCATCATCTCTTGTCTACCCCGCTTCCTATACCTCAAAGGCCAGGCAGGGTTTCAGGGTCTCCATCTGGGTGTGGAACCATTCACGGTCACTCTTCCCTCTACTCTCTGGCAGCAGCCCATGCCCCAGGAGCAGGCAGCCACCCAACCCTTCAGGGCAGAGCACACAGACCTGATGCTTTTATCCTGTCCCCACAGTATATCCGCTTGTCCTGCGACACGGATTCCGAAACCCTGTACGAGCTGCTGACCCAGCACTGGCACCTCAAAACACCCAACCTGGTCATTTCAGTGACTGGTGGTGCCAAAAACTTCGCTTTGAAACCACGCATGCGCAAGATCTTCAGCAGGCTGATTTACATTGCACAATCTAAAGGTACGTAGGCACTGAGAGAATATCCAGGGGTCATTATTCCTAGACCACATTGCATCTGGGGTGCAGAGGATGGATTTGCCACATGGCACATTCCCACAGAATCTAGATGTTCCTAGAACTATGGGGGGTCTCTGTGGGTATGTGCACATGAGTGCAGGTACCTTCAGAGGCCAGAAGAGGGCTTTGGAGCTGGAGATAGAGGCAGTTGTGAGCTGCCTTTTGGGTACTGCATATTGAACCCTGGTTCTTTACAAGAGCAATATGCATTCATAATGGTTGAGCTATCTGTCCAGTCCAGAGAAATGGAGTTGTTATTTTATTACAAATGAAATTCTTGGATGGATGGAAAGATAAGATGCTCTCTGGCTGAGAGATTTGCAGAGTAACTCTCAGTCTGGGTTAAGGTGCTGCTTTGATTAAAAAAAAAAGAATATCTGCCAGTAGTTTTATTTCATTATTTACACATATAAAATATTATAGTAAATAAAACAGAGCATTTTAACTAATTTCTCTAGAATCTTGGAGGTCATTGATGACCTTTAGGAGACAGGCTGCAGGACAGGTTGTGAGCACTGTGTAGTTGTATGAGTCAGACAATAGTAGTTTTGAATTCATATATTCAACTTAGCATGTCCTCTCTTTTACTTTTTTATTTTAAAAACCTTTAAGCATTACAGAAATGCTTCAAGAGTAATACAATGAACATATGTGCATGCTTCTAGATTTACTGATGGCTGGTATTTCCTACACTTGTCTTCTATTGTTTTATGAATATTCATGTACTATGGTTTGGCACAGAATGATTTGAAAGTACGCTGCAGACATCATGGCTCTTAGCCCCCAAGTTCACTGGCATGCATCTTCTAAGAGGAGGGAGGTCCCCTTATACATATTCCAATGCAGTTTTTCATGCTAGGGCAGGGACAGTTTACACTGACTGACATTAATAGTCTATTGTGCCCCTTTAATGACCTTTCTAAGTAAGAAACTTTTTTTCTCCATTTGGGTCCCAAATTCCCTTATTTTTCATATCATTCTAGTTTTCTTACATCAGCAGTAGTTCTCAGCCTTTGTCCATGATCACATTCCATGAGCACATCAATGGTTTTGTGGATTGTATCTCAACTTAGGTTTGGTTGATGGTATAAGTGGATTCAGTTTACCTGAACTTCACATTTTTGAAATTTCTTTTGCAAAGACACATTGACTGACAGAACTGAGGAAACACACTTTATCTGAGATATGAATTTCCAGTGTATGTCCTGGGTTGTTATAGGTCCTGGGAATACAGTAGAAAAAAAAAACACACGAAAGTCCCTGGGGACCAGCACAATGGCTCAGCAGGTAAAGGTATCAGGCCTAACACCTGGAACCCACAAGATGGGAGAGAACTGATTGAAAGTTGTACTCTGACCTACACATGTGCTGTAGCAGAGGTACTCAAGTGCATGTATACACACATGCACACATACACAGATATACACATATATACATGTACACACATACATACATACATACATACACACACACACACACACACACACACAATGTGAACAGAATATCCTTGCTTGAAAGACTGCTCATTTCTAACTAACTTACAAGATAGACTCCATTAGTTTAACCAGAGCAAAGAAGTCAATACCCCCAGAATCCTTAGTGTTGGTCATGCCCAGTTACCTTATTTTAAGAGGGAACACTGAGAACTGGCTTAAGGAATCTTCTAAGGGCCACAACGCACTTAAGTATTATTAGGTCTTTGATATGGGAGATGACTGATGACCTAGTTCTTCCTTGTCAAAGATGGCAGGGAAATTAGACAATGGAGACAGACAGCAAATTAAAGGCCTTTGTGACAACTAGAGAGGAGGGCTACTCCAGGACTCCAGAGACTCACTGCTAAAGGCAATAAAGAGAAAACAGAGACTGTCCTGAGGATAGAGAGTATCCACAAAGTGGGGATGTCCTAAGGATGGAGACTGTCTTCAAGGTGGGGGCTGTTCTAAAGATGGGCATGTCTCAAGACAGGGATTGCTCTAAAGATGGAGACTATGTTCAAGGTGGGGATTGTCCTAAAGATAGGGGTGTCTTCAAGGTGGGGGTCTGCCTTTAGAGTGGGGAGTGCCCACGTAATAAGTCACACTACAGTCATTTCTGTTATACTAAATAATATCCCTGTTGTTGGGTGCTGGGGATTGGACCCATGGCCTGACAAGTGCTAGTTAAACACTGTCTCTGAACTATAGCCCAAACCTGTAGGTCTTTTGTTTCTTATATTCTGCATTAAAACTGCAAAATGCTTGGCATTGGGAAAGATCATCGGATATAAACCTTGAATAAAAATGTGCAAAATTATGTAAAGCAAGGCAGAGCTACTGGGGCTAGGAAGGTCTACTGTGCTCTGACCAGCAGGAGGTCTGGAGAGAGCACACAGCTGGCTATGAATGCCCCACCCAGCTCACTTACCGTTCAGGCCAGGTGCTCACTGTTCATGAAAGCATTTCCCTGGAGACTCTTGGGTGCACCCTCTGCAGAGGTGGAGAATTCAAGTCTAGAACAGGGCCCAGAACATGTGCTTTCTAATGTGTGCCTCTCAGAAACCCTTGGTGACCTGGGATCATCTTCTTGTTTGTCATGGGGTCCTATCCTACAGCCTGGCTCTCAGTTTAGCATCCTGAAGCTCATGGCAGGAAGGTTGCCTTGGAAGTCTGGATCACAAGACAAAACGCTTATTCAGCATCAGTTGAAGTTCTGGTCCTCCTCCTTCATCCGCAGGTGCTTGGATTCTCACAGGAGGCACCCATTACGGTCTCATGAAGTACATAGGTGAAGTGGTGAGAGATAACACCATCAGCAGGAATTCAGAAGAGAACATCGTGGCCATTGGCATAGCGGCGTGGGGCATGGTCTCCAACAGGGACACCCTCATCAGGAATTGCAATGATGAGGTATGTGTAGAACAGGGGGCTCCGAGAGGTTCTGTGGGAGAAAGACCAGGGCAATGGCTATGGCCTGAATGCTGGGGCTCTGTGATGGAGCCAGATCGTGGGAAAGCCTGTCTTATGAGTACAGCCTACGAACCTCCGAAGTTTAAAAACCAAGGGGGGAGGAGGGCATACATGAGGGACTCCAAAGCAGGAGCTAAGAGTGGAGGCATTTTGTCATTAAAATCTGTCCCCAGCAAGCTCATGTTAGATTTGGGCCCATTGGTTTTATAACTACGATCCAAATCCATCTCAAAAGAGTTCATCTGTGTGAATAATCCTGCACTACTGTGCCAGATTTTTGGGAATTCAAATTCACTATTGTTCTCCATCCTTATCCCATTGTGGAGAAGGCTGTGAGACCCACACCACCCAATGTTTCTTCAGAACTGATTTAGAAGGCAGCAGACCTCCCTTAAATCATGTCCAGAATTCACTGTGAACATACTATATCTACTGTCATATGTGTCAAGTGTGAGAAACTACCCAAGACCTACTCAGATGATTCAGAAATCTAAATTTAATACACATCTTCTTCCATCTGTAGCTCACTATATATTTAGATGGTAAATGTTAAAGGCTGTGGTTTAAAGAAAACATTTCACTTTGTTTTCTCTGACACCATTTTTGAGACTAATAAGTGGTACAGGAACCTAAGAGTCAAATCTGTGCTCTTCCCAGAACACTATTAAGAAATGTATTAGGAGTATAAAAACTGTTTATAGGAAAGTTCCAACAATTGCACTAATCATCCCTAGATAATTTAATATTAGGGTAAAGGTGTTCATTAAAATATATCTGTAATAATGACAAATTGACATAAATCTAAATATCCAGCAATTCTTGTGACTAGATATTTATTACTAGATATTACAATCTAGTAATAGTTATTACAAAAGAGGGAAGCCCAGACAGATTATCATACAAAAATGAAGAATAACCATGGAGATAGGAAAATACTACTTCGGAGGATATTTTGACAGCATGGAAATGCTTCTAAGTGTGAAATTATGAAATACACAGATATATGCATAGAAAGTAACTAAATGCACATAAGATCTTGATGACAGCAACCTATGGCTCTTAGTATTAGGTATTATTTACATTTTCATTTATTTGCTATAGTATTCATTTCTGTAGAAAACATAGTTTTTAGAGGCTTAAATTATACTGCTAGTTTTTATTCTTTTTTTATTTCTGATGACAATCTTCAGTGAGAGCATGGTTTTACCACAAAATCTTATGATATTGTGGTTGGCTTCCTGGTTCCTCTAGTATTTTCCTGGGTGACAGTGTTTGATCTGCTACATGAAACAAAAATTTTTTTGGTGTTGTTTTGTTTTTTGTTTGTTTTTGTTTTTCCAGACAAGGTTTATCTGTATTGCTTTGGAACCTGTCTTAGAACTTCCTCTGTAGATCAAGCTGGCCTGAACTCACAGAGATCTGCTTGCCTCTGCCTCCTGAGTGCTGGAATTAAAGGCATGAGCCACCAACGCCTAGCTGAAACATAGTGTTTTTTTTTGTTTGTTTTGTTTTTTACGAGACAGGGTTTCTCTGTATTGTTTTGGAGGCTGTCGGTCCAGCCTGGCCTCGAACTCACAGAGATCCGCCTGCCTCTGCCTCCCGAGTGCTGGGATTAAAGGCGTGCACCACCACCGCCCGGCGAAACATAGTGTTTTTAATAATCTTGTCAGCCACGTCTTCTGATACAGGCTCATAGGGCTCATTGTAGGACTCAGTGCTATGGGTAGAATAGAATGGAGGCTCAGCCAACCTGAAATGAGGCCACTGTTTGAAACACTTATGCTATACTGCATTTAAGTCTGTTTCAGAGAATTTTAATTTTCTTGGCATTCATCATCTATTTTTTTAAATTATTTGATAAGTATTCTAGTTTTGAGTCATGAGAGCATTATATACATATGAAAAAGATGGCATAGTTCTTTCTCATTCTTGGTTTTCAGTCTTTGGTGCTCTTTGTCAGTGCAGTTACAAAAGGATGCACATAACAAACACAAGTTCTCTGACTTCAGTAGGGTCATAATAACGTCACCCTACATCTCAAAGACAAGTGTCCCTGTGCTTTTCAGGGATATTTCTCAGCTCAATACATCATGGACGACTTCAAGAGAGACCCTCTATATATCCTAGACAACAATCACACCCACTTGCTGCTTGTGGACAATGGGTGCCATGGACACCCCACGGTGGAAGCCAAACTGCGGAATCAGCTGGAGAAATACATCTCTGAGAGGACCAGTCAAGGTCAGCTGTTAGGAACTGAGATGCCAGCCCTGCATGGCTGTTGTGGTGACAGCTGGAGGCCAGCCCTGCATGGCTGTTGTGGTGACAGCTGGAGGCCAGCCCTGCATGGCTGTTGTGGTGACAGCTGGAGGCCAGCCCTGCATGGCTGGTGTGGTGACAGCTGGTGCTGCGTGGCTAGCCCTCTTGATTCGGTGTCTTTGTCCTCTTTCTTCAGCATGTCAGGAGGGCCCTCTGCTAGGGTCACTGACATGTCCTTTGGCATGCTGAAGACAATGACAGAGACTTTCTTACATTCTTGTTCATTCATTTAGGAAGCCTGGCTTTCTTCCTATTAGATATTTGGAACAAGTAAAACCCCTAATGGAAAAATATGTACTTAACAAGCAATGCAGTTAGGTAGGTGAATGAAAAAAAAAAAAGGAATAAAAAGAAAGCAAAAGGGTATGTCAGCCACCTTGTAACATGCAGGGACTGAGGGATGCTGGGAGGACCTGGCAGTCAGTGATATATTGATAAATTAAATAGGCAGCTCAGCTATTTAACCTGGGTAGAGATGTTAAGAATCCAACCTACTAGTGTCACAGCTGGAAGGCTATTTAATATTTTAAGTTTGTCTCTTTCTATGAACTACCAAATAGAATCACCTAAAACACTGGTTTTTTTCAGAAACCGAGTGCAAACCTTGTCTGATAAGCTGCACATGTCTTCCTTTTTTGTGGATAGGGTGTTGAGAGGTGTCCTGCTTTGGAGCAAGGTTGTCCTGTGGTTTAGTGATAGACTGCCTCACAGGACATAGTCTCAATTGTTTTTCCTTCAACAAAGACAGTTTAGGAAGTTATTTATAGATGCACTAAACTCCATTGAGAGAATACCTCATTATGCAAATTTGTCACCTACGTAAGAAATCATGGGATTATACAAATGAGGGAGAGAATAAGGGCAAACTTCAACCCAGTCTAATCAAATTCACAAATGTTAATCAAGTATCAACATTAGCATTTTAGAAAGCAGTGACAAATGACAGTACTACCCATGCTACCCCGTGGAGGGTCTGAACGCACAAGGATTCCCTCATCGTGATCTATCAGTTCAAGGTCAAGGTCAAATCCAAGCAGTTATTACCCAGGTCATGGGCTCTCATAGCAGACACTCCTCCCATTTCCTGCTGCATCCCACTTCCTGCCACACCCATTCTTCCAGGTGGAGTCCAAAACAGACTTTGTTCTTGCTTTACAGATTCCAACTATGGTGGTAAGATCCCCATCGTGTGCTTTGCTCAAGGAGGTGGAAGAGAGACTTTGAAAGTAAGTTCTAGCTTGGTTTTCTGAAAGGCTGGGATCTACAGGCTTACCCAATAGATGCAACCCCCCACCTCCAGTCCTTTGGGTTTGCCTAATCTTTTAAAACCAAAGTTCTAGTTAGTGTATAAAATGAGTCTCATTGTGACCCGTTCACACATGGTTATCCTTGTACTTTCCTCATGTTCAGGACACTGACCTCTCTCCCACCTCTTTAGTCTCTGTCCTTCCCCCTCACAGTTCCCTCTCCCTTCAAGGCATGCTCGCATATGCGCGTGTGCGTGTGTGTGTGTGTGTGTGTGTGTGTGTGTGTGTGTGTGTGTGTGAGAGAGAGAGAGAGAGAGGGGTCTAGATTTCGCATATAAGAAGAAACATGTTTATCTTTTCTTATTCAACATTGTCTATTATTATCCACAGTTCCACCCATTTCTTTACAAATGATAAGGCTCCATTCTTTATGTCTAAAACCTCATTGTGTATACATCCAGTACTTTATCCATTCATCTCCTGGGCAGTTAGTCTGGTTATATATCTTAGCTATCATGAACAGTAGTGAAGTGAGCATGACAGTGTTCACTAGTGTCTGCTGATTTAAATTATTTTGGGTGTATACTCATGAGTGGTATGCTAGGTCATATGGTTGCTCAACATTTATTTGTATTTTGAGGTTCCTCTATGTTTATTCCTATAGTGGTATCACTAATTTGAATTCCAACCCCAAGAATACAAGGATTACTCTTCCTTGGTACCCTCACTAGTGTTTTGTTGCTTCATTTCTTGCTACTGGTCAGACAGTGCTGAGATGGACTCTCCAGGCAGTTCTGATCTGTGTTTTCCTGATGGCTAAGAGTGTCAAACATATTTTCTTTTGGTGTTTTTCTTTTTTCTTTTGAGGACCATCTTTTGAATTTAGTTGCTCATTTGGGGTTTTTGTCCTTAGTTTTTTGAGTTTATAGGTTCTAGTAGATATTAATATGTCACGTCAGCTATAAAATAGCAAAGATTTCTCTCCCATTCTGTGAGCTGTCTCTTCACTCTGTTAACTGTTTCCTTTGCTATGGAGGAGGTTTTTTTTTAATTTCATGCAATTGCATTTCTCAATTCTTGCTGTTTCCAGCAGGCATTTACCTACATGTATATCTTGAAATGCTCTGCCTGTGTTCTTCTGCCTCAGTTTAAAGTTCCTGGTCATGTATTAAGGTCTTTGCTACATTTTGTTTTGATTGTGGTACCAGGTGAGAAATAAACATCTCTCAAGCCCCCTTCTTCAACTTTAGAAGATAACTTTTCTGAATGTACTCATTATGGGCAGTTTAGTTTCTTTTCTTTCTTTCTTCTTTCTTCTCTCTCTCTCTCTTTCTTCTTCTTTCTTCTTTCTTCTCTCTCTCTCTCCTCTCCTCTCTCTCTCTCTCTCTCTCTCTCTCTCTCTCTCTCTCTCTCTCTCTCTCTCTCTCTCTCTCTCCTCTCTCTCTCCCTTCCTCCCTCCCTCTCTCTTTTCCAGGACTTGAAGTATGTCCTACCTGACTCGGGGTTCCTGCTAAGTCGTCTGATATCTATAACAGGATTGCCTTTGTGAGTTGGTATCTTTCCCTACAGCTTTAGATATTGCTTCTTTGTGACTTGTCATTTCAGCTGTAATATGTTGTGGCAAGATTTTTTCTGGCAATATGTATTTAAGGTTTAAAACACTTCTTGTGTTTGGATGTTCCATTCTTTCCCTAGTTGGATGTTTTTGCTATAATTTCCCTGGATGGCTTTTCTGTTTTAAGTTTTCATTGTAACTCCTTCTCTCCCACAGATGCACAGATTTAGTTTCTTTATGACATCCCAAATTCTTGAAAGCCATGTTCAAGAGCTTTCTTGACTTTGTCCTCTATTTATCCTGAGTTCTTTCCTGAAGTATGTAGGAAATGTTTTCTTACCATGTGATGCTCCTCAGCTGAGAAAGTTAGGAAGATACATTCAGAATGGCAGAAGTAACTTCTCTAGATCCTGGACTCCATGTGCAGGATCTCATACCTAGAGGATGCTGCCAACATTGGATATCCTGGATGAGTCTGCACATTGACACTGAGCATCTTGGCAAAGACTCCATTTTCCCATCTACATCATGGGTTCTGATGTTACAGTTGTGTCTGCCCAAATTCAGGCCTCTGGCTCTTTAGAGATTGACATCTATGTGATTGCACTGTAGTTAGTGTTTGGATACATTGCCTTCCAGAGGATTTTTGTTGTTGTTTGTTTGGTTTTTGTTATAGGACTAAGATCTTATAAGAAAATAATGTTCAACTTCTCTCATAATTATTTCCATGCCCACCCCCTACCTCTCCTGGTTTTAGTATAAAGCCAGAGTAGAATAGCAGACCTACACACAGTTACTTACTCTGCCTCAGTGACCAGAGCACACTGGAATTTCCAGTCCTTGCTGACAAAAGTTTCCTGGAATTGTAGAGGAACACTCATTGTCTGTTTTTTGTTTGTTTTTTGTGTTTGTGTCTTTTAGTTTATTCATTCAACAGATATTTATGAGATATTATGAAAGCTGTTATTGAGACTTCTGTTGAAAAAAGAAGCCATTCAGGAGTCTTTCAAAGAGAAATTTTTTAAAAGAAACTTCAGGGAACAAGTAAAATTGACCATTTTTTTTCAGTGTGAAATGATCGCCAGACAAATGCTGAAAAGCAGTCATATAGAGAGGAGGTGGAGAGAGGGATGTGAAGTAGCTGTCCCACTTAGAGCATCCTGCAGGCTCTCATCCTCTGCGCTTTGCAAGTTGTGGGTGGGTCTCTGTGTTCATCATCATCTACTGCAAAAAGATGCTTATATAAGGGTTGACCAATACGATGATCTATGGGTACAGCAATAAATCATTAGTGGTCAGTTAATACTATGCCCATTTAGCAGAGTGACAGTCATAGGTCCTCCCCTAGAACCTGAATGTCTCATCACAGATTCCTGACCCCACTGACAGTTCATCATGGGTTTCATCATGTTGAGTAGGTCTTAACTCCAATCAGAAAGTGATTGCTAACTGCCATGACATTCATGCTTCTATTGTACCAGTGGGCATGCCTTGCCTGGCCAGTTGCTATTGTGACTCACAGGGTCCACAGCTGGGTAATTACTTTTCTACTCTGATAGTGTGCACAGTGCTTTCCTGCTCTATGAATGCTACTCAGGAGAGATGAGGCTTCTGGGTCAGCATTAGCTTGATTTCTCTATGCTCTATAACTCAATAGGCTCTTACTGTCAAGTATAATACCCTGACTGGCCAGCAGCTCCCTAAAAGGTAACTCATTCCAGTTCCTGGACTTTTTATTTATTAGCCTGTGTGTCTTGTAGGGGCTTTGTTGTCCATTTATTGGTTGAATAGAGAAACAGGGAATGATCTGGGAGGAGCTGAAGGAAGGGAGTGACCATAATCAAAATGTGTTATGTGAAATTCTCCAAGAACTAATAAATGAGAAAAAATAGAGGAGACAGAGAGTGGTGGCAGATTAAGGAGGTGGAGAGAGGTAGTAGATAAGAGAGATGAGTTGGGAGATGGCTGTATGCCTACTCTTCTCTGAAACTTAAGATTTGGAGAGAAGATTTCTTGTCCTAGAGTAGAGGGAAAGATGTCTCTTTTCCTGCTGTAACTTAATGGAAGGTATCTCCGTAGTATCAACTGTGAAGATCTGCACAACTTGCACCATTCCTCAGAAGAAGGGGCAGGAGAGCAGGAGACTAACATCGAACTGTGTTTCTTGGGCTCCTTAGCCCCACATCTTTGAGGTGCCACCCAGCACTTGTATTTATATTCATCTTGATTGTAGACTCTGAGGCATGTGGGCAGACTGTAAAGAGAAGCTTTTTCCTTGAGAGGAGCCTTCCCGCCAGCCTGGTTCTAGAGCCGCATCAGTCCCAAATAAACACACAGGAGGCTATATTATTTATGAAGCTGTTGGCCTTGCTTGTCTCTTACTGGCTAGCTCTGCTTTAAGTAATTACCCCATAATTGTTAATCTAAGTATGTCTCTTACCGGAGAATAGTTCCGGGCTCCTACCCCATGGAGTTACATCTTGAATCTCTTTGTGTTTCTCCTACCCAGAGTCCTTCTGGACTCCTAGTCCCGTCTATCTAGATTCCCTATTGGCCAGACAGTGCTTTATTGACAAGTGCACAGGACTTCCCCAACAGCAGACTCCCAGCCTGCTCCCTCAGACTCATCATAGCTGCATGGCCCAATAGGCGGTGTTCAGTCTCTAAAAAAGGGGACTTACACTTGTTTCTGTGCCAGTGTGTAGACTAATCCCTTGATCTTGAAGTCAGGTGATGACAAGTCTGAGTTTCCTCTTCCACCTTCTGAAGTTCTTACAAAGAAAATGTTGGTGTGAGAGGTGTTTATCCAGAAAGTAAGTCTATTTCATTCTCTTGCAATAAGTAAAGAGGGGAACAAAGGAGCCAATACATAGAATACAAGGCTAACTTCTTTTAAAGTATTTGCAAAGCTTTGACAGCTTCTTTTAGATAAATTATCAGTACAGTTGTGTTGATCAGATCTTCACAGTTGTCACTTAAATTTTGGCAATGAACAATTTTGTATATAAATGTATTTTCAAAGTACCTCTGTATGGAGGTGTCCTTGTTGAGGAATATTTTTTAACTAGTTAAAGATGTGTCATGTTTGTTTATGCTGCATTTGTTTAACTATGTAAAGATACGTTGCATTTGTGTTAATTAAATGAAATTAACCTGAACTCAGAGAGACAGGGTTAGCAACTGATTGACAGGAAGAAGCAGGGAGGACTGTAGCATAGGTTTTTTCTCTTTTTCTTTTTTCTTTTTTTCTTTATCTTTTTTTAAAAGTTGGGGCGATTGTGGAAGGAGGAGTGAGACTTCCAGGGATGCCAGCTAAAAGAGAAAGTTAGCTGGTCACTACTCAACTCTCTGAGCTCACAGGTTTTCACTCTAGCCTTTGAATCTCAAGTTTTATTAGAATGATAGAAATTTAGTTAACGCTACCTTTACCAGCAGCGAGAGAGCCATTGTCTGGGGGACAGAATTCCACTAGTAGTTTAAAATGCAGCCACTGTGAGGAAAGTAAAATGGCATGTCTTTTTGTGGAATTTGTCATTTTCTCAGGATATCAAGCAAATGGCTCACTTTCCCCATTCATAAAGCCACTCCAGTTGTTTGATTGCGATTTGAAATCAAAGCCGCAGATGGAAAAGCAGTAAGAATGTCAAAGCATCTGTGCATGCCCTTGATTTAGAACCTCGGTCCTGAGCTGGATTGTGTCCACTGCAGCCCCTTCCACGTGCCCAACTCTTTATCCCTCTCACAGGCTATCAATACCTCCGTCAAAAGTAAGATCCCCTGCGTGGTGGTGGAAGGCTCCGGGCAGATTGCCGATGTGATTGCCAGCCTGGTAGAGGTAGAGGATGTTCTGACCTCTTCCATGGTCAAAGAGAAGCTGGTGCGATTCTTACCACGCACTGTGTCCCGACTGCCGGAAGAGGAGACTGAGAGTTGGATCAAATGGGTGAGTTTGGGGAGATGCTGGAGGTTGGCTATGGGGAAGGCAGGTTCCTGGGATGGGCAAAAGTCTCACGTTCTCTATTCCACCAGCAATGGCGAGTGTTTGTTTTTTTCTCCTGACGTTGAGGCTGTTCTCTAGTTCATACCAGGTGTCTTGCTGGAAATTGAAATTCAGGTAAGTTACATGACTCCAGTTATCTGTTCTTTAGAGATTTGGCATGGGGTTTAAGTTCAAGTCATTTGCAAGGCTCGTCTTTCTCTTGTGCCAGTGCACGAGCTTCCATGCTTGGCACACATCGAGAGGAAGGAAGTTCCTGGTAGTAATATTTGACAAATGCAGATGATATCCAGAGTCTGCATCTACTCAAGTCATCACGGTGGGAGAACGGCCATGCTACACTCTGACTATGCTGGCTTTGGAATCTTTCATCTTGCCTAGCAGTCTTGTGAGAAAAGTTGACATACAGGAGCACTTAAGCTTATGGTTGCTAGCCTTATGGAAACCTTTGGACATATTAATGTTGTGCTGTGATTGCTGTTCATTTGTGATGACTCGTTGTCTAGGCTACTCAGCACATGAGAAAGCTTCCATTCATGTCAGCATCTCATCCCCACCAGCTCATTCAGAAATGGATATATGTGTTTGGATATTATTAGGAGCCATGCTACCTCTTAATATTTATTTATTATTTTTACCTGAGGAAATAACAGGGTTATAGCACAAGGGTTATTTTCATCATGGAGTCAATGGAAAGTTGGGTTTAATATAAAGGATAATAACAATAAGATTTTTAAAAACTAGATTATCACAGCATGGGTGTTGGGTTCACATGGGTCCCTGGAAATAAGACTTATAGGGACTTTAAGAATGACTTTAGCCTTTCTTGGCTACAGAGTGGAGCCAGCCTCTAAGGACTGAATTGATTTTCCTTCTCCCAGGGTTTCTTTTATGCTTCTCCAATTTACACCTTAGCAAGTTGATTTCCATATTATCAAAACAACCTGAACTTCAATGCCAAGTGCAAATTCTTGATCCAGGGGTTTTCTGGAGTTTCCCCTTAACCAAGTTTGGCATAGGCTTTGTATCCTTGGGAAACTCTCAGGCAAGATTCATATGTAGGGCAACAAGGGAATCAAAAGGTATCTGATAAACAAAGGATGGGTTAGGGCTAGATGCTAGCACTCTGGAGCCAGACCAGGTGTAGTCCTGCAGGAATAATGCAACACTAGATTGCAGTTCTAGCAGCATTTAGTATTTGTAGAGGCCCTCAAGATATCAAGTGCAGCAAACTCAAGTCCTCAACACATAAAAGATCACTTTCTTTTTGCTTATAATATTACTTAATGTAAGCCTGGGCAGGCCAAATACTGACTGAGAGATGACACATGTTAGCCCAGCCTTCTGTGCTGCTGGACATTCTTTACTAATTCCCACAGAGTGGGGCCTTAATGGCCTCCTTTAATTTTACCTGAGAGGGTGGCTAGCTCATAAGCCTGATGGAATGGTGAAATCCAAAGTTGTCAGTAAACAAGTAGGTTGGCACTCTAGATTAAGCCCCATTGTCTAAAATCTGGAGCCTAGAAATATGGTTGAAATTTCTCCTCCACAGCTGAGAGACAGCATCTATGCTGGGTCAGGCCTTGACTAGTGATGGCTTGTGTGATCTCCCTACTAAGATACTGCAATTTTTAGATTTTTTTACACTAAATTTTTGCAGGGATTTTTTTTCATCATGTCCAAGTCTAAAACAAGAATCAGGCAAATGGAGGTGAAGAAATTTATGGAAGGTGAATGCAAAGTCAAACAAAGAGGCTGGGAGGAATCCAGCCATTGGCATCATTCTTTGTGCTGAGTCCCAGAGTGCACTGGTTAAGCTCACACATGACAGTCAGAATGTGACAAATGCTGGCCTCACATTCCTCAAGCAACAGATACCAGTAAAGTAACCATCAAAAGTCCTCCTAGGGAAGGTCAACCTCACTGTCTACCAGGAGATAGTGAAGTGGTGGTGAGTGGCCAGGTGACTCACCCCTTGATATTATTTCCACATGGAAATCCATAGGTAAGGGTGCTCACTCTCTGAAGTGAAAATATTGCATACCTGGAGCTTTCTAGTTAATTCTAACAGGTGACCATACTAATCTTTGTCACAGGTGTTGCATACTTATCGCCTCTCTCCAGTTCCTGAGGTGGGCAGAAATAATTCAGTGGTCAGTGCAAGAATACCCAGAAAGGAAGGAATAGAGAACTGTTAGTTTGTCTATCTAACACAGACCTGGGTCCATTCCAGTGGATTTCCTTCTTAACCCTTCTACAAGTTGACACTTGGAGTCTGGTTCATGTCACACCCAAAAACCAGAATGGCCCTAATGGTCCTTCTATTCTTTATGAGGGGTTTTGATTTCTACTTCAAGACAGCTATCAGAGGCAATTCATCTTAAGCTAAATGTCAGGCTAATTTTGCTGCCTTTGATTATATTAACATTTCTGTGATTCATATCCAATTCATATTCACATCTAATTAAATATATTTATTTCTAATCATGTCAACCAGAAGACATACATAAAAATAGAAATTACTCTGGCATTTTAGCTATGCATTCATATGGAGTTGTGAAATTGGTACAGATTTCCCAAAAGACCAAACTGAAGGGTAGCATTACTAATTAATTTATTAATTAATAAATATGCAGGTTTTCAGTGTAGTCTTGAGTGACCTCGATGGTCATGTGAATGGCTGACCACCAAAGCTAGACCCATTTTTTTTTCCATCCTAGAAATCCCTCTCCCTGGGAGATCACCATCTCCCCCAACAGCTCCCTCACAGTGATTCCACACAGCTACCCTGATCCCATCAAGATCTTGGCTTTCCAAAGTATATGAATATTAACCACGCTGTATACCATTCATTCAAACATCTAAAGCTATTTCATCTTCTGTTCATTAGGTTGGTTCTTATTGTGTATATGTCATGTGCTACATTTGTTTTGGTCACACCAAGAATTGTGTGTATGGGAGAAGGAGGAGGAGAACATGAGGGATCAGGAAGGTCAAATTGGGGGAAGAACAGAGAAAGATAGCAAGGAAAGAGATACCTTAATAGAAGGAGCCATTACAGGCTTTACAAGAAATCTGGCACTAGGGAAATCTCCAGGTATCCACAAGGATGACCCCAACTAAGAATATAAGCAGTAGTGGAGAGGCTACCTTAAATGCTCTTCCACTATAATGAGATTGATGACTACCTTTAAATGCCATCATAGAGCCTTCATCTAGTAGCTGATGGAAGCAGAAACAGAGATACACAGCTAAGCACTGAGCCGAACTCCTGGAATCCAGTTATAGAGAGGGAGGAGTGATGAGCAAAGGGGTCAAGACCATGCTGGGGAAACCCACCAAAACAACTAGTCTGAGAAACTGGGAGCTCACAGACCCGAGCTTGACAACTGGGAAACCAGCATAAGACCAAACCATGCCTCCTAAATTGTGGGGCTTGGACAGTCTATGGGGCCTCTGGCAGTGGAGCCAGTATTTATCCATAGTGCACGAATGGGCTTTGGGAGCTCATTCCCTATGAAGGGATACTCTCTCAGCCTAGATACATGGTTGAGGGCCTAGGTCCTACCCCAAATAATGTGACATATATTGATGATCCCCATGGGAGACCTTACCCTCCCTGAGGATTGGATGGGGGTGGGATGGAGGGAATGGGAGGATGGGAGGGAGAACTAGGATTGCTATATAAAATAAGATTGTTTTTAATTTAAATAAAAATTAATTTAAAAAAGAATTGTATGTATTTCAGAAATAGTCACATAGGGAACATTAGTTTAAAAAAACCTTTGTGTGAAGTTATTTTAAAAATTACTGTATTATTTCAAACGGAAGCAGGTGTGCATAGTTACTGTTCTCTTTGCTGTGAACAAATACCTATCAAGGAATAACTTAAAAAGAAGGAAGGGTTTATTTTAGCTTGTGGTTCTAGGAGCTACAGTCCATCACTGCAGGGAAAGCATGGTGACAAGAGCATAAGACAGCTGGTCACGTTGTCTCCTGTAGTCAAAAGGAGAAAGGGAGAGAGAGAGAGAGAGAGAGAGAGAGAGAGAGAGAGAGAGAGAGAGAGAGAGAGAGAGGCAGCCAGGCTTAGGCCAGGAGGAGATAAGGTGTGTGGGAGGGAATAAATTAGTCCTTGGAACCCTGTCGAGGTCTATTGTTGTGCTCTGTATCCATGTTTGTTTTCTTTTCTTCCCTTTACATTACAGAACCAAAGATGTCTTATCCCCATGGTTGGCCCACTTCACATGTGTTCCATAACCCTGGGTCCTACATTTGCCTCCTTACCAATCATTTCTCTCTGAACTCCTTTCCTGCCTGTATGGTGAAGAGTCTTTTTTGCTATGCTCATCTGTTCCTCTCCCTCAAAATCCTTATAGTCTGTGTTTTGTTGAATCTCTAGATTATCTCCTCCATTACCACTGGAAACATATCTTCAGAACCCAAATCTTCATTATCATCATCCCCAAGGAGCAGAGGCCTTAAAAGTTCACCTCCTAATTGCCAGGCCCAAGAACTTTCTCAGTCCACATCTTTCTACCTTGCTATAGCAAGGCCCTGAGACCCCTGGCCCTTGCCTAGTAGAGACCTGGAAGTTTGAGGTCTAAAGATTGCTAGGGAAGTCACCATCATCTAAAACTGAAGCTAACCAAAGTGGGCCTGGTCCTCCTGTAAAGGAGAAGTTCTTTCAAGTAGAAGTTTATCCTTGCTAGTACCTGGAGCCTAGAAATTAGATGCCTTTTCAAAGAATCTGTTTCAAATGTAAACACTACAGGAAACCCACAAAGGATAATATATTTGTCTCTCAGAAAGGACAATATAAGTTATTGATATCTCTAGCACCAAGTCCTCCAGCTTCTTGCTCATCATTAAACTATTCCTTCCTCCTGTTTCAGACTTTATGACCAACCACACTTAGAAGGTTTTCAGTCTTTTGTTGCCTGCTATTCATCAGTTACTTACCAGACAATTGATATCTTTAATGTGTCAGGATTTGCTCCCCCTCTCAACACACACACACACACACACACACACACACACACACACACACACAGAGAGAGAGAGAGAGAGAGAGAGAGAGAGAGAGAGAGAGAGAGAGAGATTTCAGAGTAGTATAAGGGGAGGCTTTTTGGGAAGAGGAACAGGTTTAGGGGGATAGGGAGGGAATAAGAGAGGGTGAATAGGGGGTTAGGATTAAAGTACATTGTATATACATGTATGTATGTATGAAATTGTAAAAGAACAGTTACATTAAAAAAGAAGTTCATATTCACCATGCTCAAGATCAGTTGGTTGACAATATTCTTTCTGACATTTTACCAGCTCAAAGAAATTCTTGAATGTTCCCACCTACTCACAGTTATTAAGATGGAAGAAGCTGGAGATGAGATTGTGAGCAATGCCATTTCCTATGCACTGTATAAAGGTGAGTGGAATCAGTTCGCTGAGAGTACATCCTTGTAGGATAAAATGACTTCTGTATATGGTGAATTCCCTTAGATGGGTGCATTTCACAGAATAAGAAGTTTTATGTCTTTAAAAGACTGATCAAGTATAACCAAAGTAATCTGTAAACAGTTGTTTCTAGAAGTGATTTAAAGAACTTTTGGAGTGGCAGACCTCTTTTAAAATGTTGTAAAGACTTTATTATTCCAGGAGTGTGTGCACACATACCTTACATGCACATGTCACACACACACACACACACACACACACACACACACACACACTTAGTATTCAACTTCAGAGTTCACATGTCTTCTGAAGCTTATGACTGATCTCTAGGAAGAATAATTCTCTTTAGACTTTTGAGTGGGGCATGATGGTGCATGTCTTTAATCCCACCATCTGGAAGGCAGAGGCATGTGGACCTCTGCCAGTTTGAGACCAGCCTCATCTACATAGGACCATAGGTCTGGATTCCAGGAAAGCCAGAGCTACATAGTGAGACTCTGTCTCAAGAAAGAATTCCACCAAGGGGAAATTACCTATAGTCACTAGCAAAGCCTTGCTTTCTGTATTGAAATACCTAACCAATAAATGCAAATTATACAGAGAAGATAGATAGATAGATAGATAGATAGATAGATAGATAGATAGATAGGGAGAAAAAGAGTGGGGAGAGAAAGAGAAACATATTAGGTTGGAAGTTGGGCCTCTAAGACCTGTTTCCCCTTGACCCACTTCCTCAAACTAAGTCCTGATTCCTAAAGATTCCCCAGCCTCTCAGAACAGTGCCAGTAGCTAGAAACAAAGTATTTAAGCACAAGAGCCTATGGGGGAACATTTTATACTCAAATAGTAACAAAAACACATTCTTGCAATATGGCTAATTATTTATAGATTTATATATAGGATAAGTCAGACACAACTTTGGAATAGAATACTTATGGAGCCTCAATCTATAAAGAAATATCAATATATTCTAGTTATACTATATTCACATGTAACAGAAGGATATTATAATCTTGGTTTATTACTATAGACTTCAGGATATATGCAATGCAAATAAAAATGAGTGACAATGGAGGGAGATGACAGTTTCCTCTGATTCCAAGAGACTTTCTTTGACCAGTGGCTCCGATATTTGGAGGATATTAATATCCTGACTTTCTTATGTATGATTTGTTGTTCTGTGGTTTTCTTCCTGCCCACTTCCAGCCTTCAGCACTAATGAACAAGACAAGGACAATTGGAATGGGCAACTGAAGCTTCTGCTGGAGTGGAACCAATTGGACCTTGCCAGTGATGAGATCTTCACCAATGACCGCCGATGGGAGGTAGCAGAAACCTCTGGGGTTATTCCTGGGTTAACATGGACATTGATCTCAACAGTAGATGGTCTGTATCCAACAAGGTCATCAGTCTAGAATATTGTTAATGTTTGTTTTGTTCTATCTTATCAGTGGTGTCCAGCCTCCCTTTCCTTGATTGTAGGATAATAATGCTTAGTAGGTTTCTTGCAAACAGATAATATAGCCAAAGACTCTCATGTAAGCTATCCTAAATGTATAATCCTGTTGTCAGGAGATAAGAGAAGATAATCTGGTGCAGATCTACAAGTCTGCTCTCAGGAGTGGATGGGTGGAGGTATGAGGACTAGAGATGTGGGATTATTGACCTGGCCTAACTAAAAAAATCAAGACAACAGCATTCTTTTGCCACCTCCCCACCCAGCCAAATTCTGAGAGGAGATTTGTCAGTGGTTGGAGGTATGAGGGGAAGATGGAATAACTTTGCTGAAGACACCCACCAGTGCCTTAGAGTGAGGTATCAGGGACTTCCCTGGGCCAAATGAATGTCTCCAATATGAAAGTAGCATAGAAAAATTATAATTATAATCTATACTTTTCCAGCAGATCACTCTTCTATATTTTCAGTTAGATACATGTTTTAAGGCCCCGTTTATGGGAGATCACTTACAAGCATCCAAAGTTCAATCAGCCTTGGAGGCTCCGTTCAGAAGGAGCAATAAGCTGTAAACAGAGATTTACAAGGGTGCATCTTTGTGTTCAGTTAGTCTCAATTAATTGAAGTCATTATGGGCAGTGAGGTTATATTTGGTTTTACATGTAAATGTATGGATTTGAAGGCTTACATAACTCAACTTCCATCTTCAGCAGCCAGCATACCACTGTATCATCAAAGACCAAAGTTTGATTTACATTAGCATATGATCAATTTTAATGAGAGTAGTGAAAACAGTAATGGCTCATGAATTTTTGAGTTATTCATCCCTTTAGCAAACATTGTCTAGTGTTTGGTCTTTGCACCATAATGAACTCTATTACACACCACAAGGCTTTAGTTAATGGAGGGCAAGTAGAACCTTAAGTGCATTAATTAATTGATTCATAAATGAATCCATCTGTGTACATTGTTCTATTTAAATAAGGTCAGGTGGTAAATAAACAAACTCAGACAAGTATTAGTGTTATACATTTAATTTTATTAACTTAGCTGAAGGTGGTTAGCATGAAGGACATAGTGGCTAAGACTTTGAGTTCTGGAGTAGCTGTGTGTCCTTGGGCAAGGTTCTCAACTATGCACTAGGTCAGTTCTCTCTTATGGTGCTATGCTGGAGTCAATTCATACTGACTTGCAAAAACTAGCTGAAAACTTTTCAGAGATTTGGGGGGGTTGGTTGTAGAATATAGTCATTATTAGAAATCAGGTTATGTAACTTTATAATTTGAATAAATCTTATGAAAACTAAGCTAAGAAATAATCAAAACGAACGACTTTGTGGACTGTGGAGATAGCTCAGTTGGTTGGAACATTCATTCTGCAAGCATAAAGCTCTGAGTTCGAGTCACCAGCAGTCTGGGCATGACTGTGTGTGTGTGTGTGTGTGTGTGTGTGTGTGTGTGTGTGTGTGTGTGTGTGTAATGCCGGCATTGAGGGTTGGAGACTGGTAGATTCTAAGAGCTCTCTGGCCAGACAAGCTAGCTGAAGAGACAAGCTTCATGTTCAGTAAGAGGTCCAGCCTCTGGACAATAAGGAGGCAAGTGATAGAGGAAGAGGTGTGATGTCTTGCTCTGATCTTTGCATGAGCACAAACAGGGGCACACACCTGTACATGCACACACCTGTACCACACACATGCAATGCTCCCTCACCATGACTCTCTAGTTATTTTGCTGCACGTAGGAACTGTATTCCAGGTTACTTCTGTTGCTACCGCCTACTGTTACATAGTGGTGTGATCTTCCATATCTATCCCCAGTTCTACATTCAGTAATGTCACAGCAGTAGCTGAAAATACACTATGGCAGGAGTATGTGCATCATTGGGAGCAGCAGATTTTACCTCACTGTCTGTGTTTCTCTCAGACAGCTATTGTTAAATATTTTTCAGGCTCACCCAAAACCGAAGGGAATTGCTGTGGTACCTTCCCCGTTGTGTTGTTACATTGATTAAATTAAATGGTGTTTCTAAAGGACTTAGAACACTGGTTCTTTTGAAACCCTATACTAGCATCCACTTAAAAGTAAATTTTAAAATGACGTCACACAGCCCTTCACAGCACACACAGTACTTTCCTGACCACTCACATCAACTCACAGCAGAGACGATCTCTTTTTGTTGACAAATGAGTCAGAGCACCATGATATTATAGGATGGGGTTCCTGGCAGTGTCTGGGGGACTGCTCTGAACTCGGACCTCTGAAAGAGCATGACCTGCATTGTCTCATTTTCTCTTTACCAAGCAGAACAAAACAAATTGAGGCTGAGACAAACATCTTGTTCTGACTCACAGAACTAGAGAGTGGTGGGACTAAGGTTTGGAAACAGATATGTGTCTGTCTGCAAAGTCTTTCCTTTTCCATATGCAAGTGATTCTCAGTGTGGTCCTAGGACTAGTGATGGTATAACCCAGAAACTCATTAGTGGTGTGGACTTCTGGATTATTTCTAACTCATGCTTGCTGAATTAGAAACAGTGTTGACTGCCAGCAGTCTGCTGTAGTGAGTCCCCATGTTTGAGAACCACTGCCCCATGTTGTCCAGAGTGGGACACAAACTCAGAATGAAATGCAAGATAGGGCGTGATGGACCACCTGCTTTGAGGATAGTGGAGGAGATGGCATGCTCCCAAGTGAGCTCTTCCCTGCTACTCCCAGAGATCTAAAGAGTTGGGGACTCAAGGAACCCTTAATGATTTCCCCTAGGCAAAATATGAGTCCATGAAAACAACATCAGGCAGACATAAAAACCACCAATGCTGCCATTAAAATAAGGGCCAGACAAGGAACTGAGGAAATGAAGTAGGCTGCCATCAGGGCGGAATCATGGGGTTAACGGTCACCAGGGGACTTGGGTTCCTGGGAATAGATGCCATAGGATTCTGCTGGGGGTTTCCATGTTGTTAGACTTTGTACCTTCAACTTTTAATACGATCTTGATGGCCCTTTGTATCTGTGAGTGTTGGCAATGAAACTGACTTATAATAAATACCATATAATAATAGCATGTAGTAATGTGTAGTCACCTAAGAGCTGACGCGACTGAAGTGAGCATTGATCTTTCCCTAAACTCTTAGGAAAGCTAGACATCATGGCTCCTGCTTGTCATTCCAGAATTTGGGAGGCTGATGCAGGATTGCTATGAATCCAAAGCTAACATGTAGTAAGTTTTAGGTCATCCTAGGATGCCAAGTTAAGACACTGTCTAAAAATAAATAAGAAAAAATGGATTTTTGGAAAAACTCTGTAGGATAATTTTTACCAGGCTCAGAAAGAGTTGACACAGGGACCAGTGACTCACTGCTGTATCACATCCCAGACTGCTACTAGACAGTATGTGGCTTGTTGGGTTCCATTTTGACAATTGCATTTGAGAACTTTGTCACTGTAGGGAAGGTCAGGTTCTCCTGGGGGGGGGGCAGCAGATACCACAGTGTGGACAGGCATCATTGGCGGTTGGTTCACAGTCTGTCTACTGTAGACTCCTGCTGTTGGCTTCTGCTTCCTGATGACTTTTTATGCTAAGTGACAGCATCAGCTTCTGGCCCATGCCATGCTTAAGTGGGCATGCTGTCTCCACACAAGCAAGAACTGAGGTCACATTCAAAGGCTCTACCTTGCTGTTCTCCCACCTAGATGCTGAAAAGATGAATTTTATTGTCAAAGCAGGATGCAGAGAGAAGCTGGAGACACTAGAACTCTGTGCCCGAAATATAGAAACTCCTTGTGTCTTCTTTATTGGTCTTATGGTATGCGTTCTCTCCTCTTTCCCTTTAGTCTGCTGACCTTCAGGAAGTCATGTTCACGGCTCTCATAAAGGACAGGCCCAAATTTGTCCGCCTCTTTCTGGAGAACGGCCTGAACCTGCAGAAGTTTCTCACCAATGACGTCCTCACAGAGCTCTTCTCCACCCACTTTAGCACCCTAGTGTACCGGAACCTGCAGATCGCCAAGAACTCCTACAACGATGCACTCCTCACTTTTGTCTGGAAGCTGGTGGCAAACTTCCGTAGAGGCTTCTGGAAGGAAGACAGAAGCAGCAGGGAGGACTTGGATGTGGAACTCCATGTACGTACGTAATGGTGGAGCTGTCTGTTAGCATTCAGTTCTCTGCTTCCATATTTCTATTCCCAGAATTTGGTTCTCTGCCTCCATCTTTCCTGTTCTCTTCCTGGTTGCCATAAAGCAATTAGAAGGGTGACATGCACTTTCCATATCATCTTTCCTAAAGAATAAAGTCACTGGTAAGTTTTCTCATGTCTCGCGCTAGCCCCTGTTTTTGTTTAGTTGCCTCATTGCTAGATCACAAGACATGTGTGACATACTTTCTGAGGCTGTTTGATGAGGAGCAGGGACAAATAGACGGCTTCCTGCTCCTGTTTCAGCCTGTTTACAAAAATAGGTCGCTGCTGCCCAGGTGAAAGAATGAAGGGCTGCCAGAGTTCTGTGAACAAATGGAGTAGTGGGTATTTCCACTAGAGCAGAAGTGAATGTCCTGGGATCCCTTTTTGAGTATGCGCAGGTCCAGTTCCACTCACCAGCATCATCAATTATTACCAGCATTTGCTCTGATCAACGTCCAGCGCTAGTGAATGCCCCAATTACCCCTCATCTGAAGGAGATGATTCAGGGCCATAGGAAGTGAGCTCTGGCAACACAACCATGGCTGCCTGCTTGGTCTCTTTCTTTTCTGACTGTATTTCCTCACTCTCTAAATAAGACACTTGGCTCAAATTCTTATCTCAGGATTGCTTCTGGGGAGACCCAAACTAGAGCATCATTGTTTGTAACTCTGGTGTGTGTGTGTGTGTGTGTGTGTGTATATATATATATATATATATATATATATATATATATATATATAAGTTTTTTACAAGACAGGGTTTCTTTGTATTGTTTTGGAGGCTGTCGGTCCAGCTCGGCCTCGAACTAACAGAGATCCGCCTGCCTCTGCCTCCTGAGTGTTGGGATTAAAGGTGTGTGCCACCACCGCCCGGCTTGTAACTCTGATATTTTTAAGTGTGTGTGTGTGTGAAGATGAGCTCAGTGTATGGTTGAATTAAAGTGTAGATCTTCTGTTTGACATTATTTATGTTAGATTTTTGAAACATGGCACATAACTGGGCCTCATATGTACAGTTTAGAGTTTAGTCAGTCACCAGGGGACCTGAAGGGGGACACACACAGTCATTTTCCATCTGAAAATATTCCTGGGAAGATACAGAATCTTAAATATGAGCTACACCTCCAATCTTTGAATAACCATCCAAAGGAATAAGCACATTTTTCATGGTGACAAGTGGATGTAAGCCCCGGGAAAGTTAGATTTAGTCTGACCACTTTTCTCCCCCTCTAGATGAGAAACTGATTCTATAGAATGGAGAAGAATTGCTTTCTCCATGGCACATCACAAGTCATTTAGTCTTTAAATTGCTCTCCGTACTTTCCCCCCTTTATACCTTCTCCTACACTTGTACTTTGTCTTCTGTGCTAGATGAAAGATTTTGTGTCAAATCACACCACCTGCTGAGCTGCAGTGAACAATGCTGCAAAAACAGACTCAGCCCCACGCCCACGGGTCTCCAAACAGAGGGCCTGTTTCTCATGCTTTCTGACTGTTCCGTTTCATTGTTAGAATAGTGTAAGTGGGTTACATTTGCGTGTGGTGACCCCACGGGTCTCCAAACAGAGGGCCTGTTTCTCATGCTTTCTGACTGTTCCGTTTCATTGTTAGAATAGTGCAAGCGGGTTACATTTGCATGTGGTGACCCTATGTTCTGACCCCTCTCAGGATGCATCTCTCACCACCCGGCACCCTCTGCAAGCTCTCTTCATCTGGGCCATCCTTCAGAACAAGAAGGAACTCTCCAAGGTCATTTGGGAGCAGGTAAATGTCCAGGCCCACGCTGAATTAATGCCAAAGACATGCTGTGTTATAGGAGTCTGATCTAACCTACACTCATATGCCTAGTTTAGAATTTGGGGCATCTGGTACACAGGATCATGGCTGTGCCTGTTTGCATGTCCTTGGAGGTGTGCCTAGGATGGGTGGTCCCCAGAAAGGAATAAAGGAGGGGTCCTCCAGGACACTCCTGCTCCCCAGTTGCCTGTCCATGATTTTTTCCCAAGTTTCCCAAGATGCTTTGAAATTTAATTTAAATTAATTTCTAAGCCCTGACTTCACACGCACAAGGTCTTAGGTTTGATCCCCAGCACTAAGTAATAATAATATTAAAATAAAACAATAATCTCTAGCTTTATTCTATTATGAAACAGTGACTAGGGCCTATAAAATTCTGCTGTGAAGTATTTACTGCGAATTTCTTTGTGGTTTGGCACATCACTATTTCTGTAAATATGGACACTCGTGCTTCTGTCTCCACTTCAACCCTTGACTGCTGAATTTAGACACAGCCTTCAGTTGCATGGCTCAGGTCTTCAATGTTCTCATCTCTCTTCCTGTGTCCTGGCTGTTACAGTACAATAACATTGAGATAATGGGTCAACCAGGCCTCCTGCCCTCAGAGGCTTAATGTCTCCTACTACTTACTCAGTTTTGTTTTTTTAATATGCTGTCTACAAGACCATGAATAGTGAATAGCATACTGAGGTCCAAGTCTGTTCCAAGCTCATTACAGACCTGACTTTGAATTGCACTGAGTAGTTGACTTTGCCATTTCCTGCTTGTCTATACTTCTCAAAAGTTACTGTTGACGTTACCACTTTCAGAGATTATGAATTAACCAACATTTCCCCATCCCTGTCCCCCAAAAGACAAAAGGCTGTACTCTGGCAGCCTTGGGGGCCAGCAAGCTTCTGAAGACCCTGGCTAAAGTCAAGAATGACATCAACGCTGCCGGGGAATCAGAGGAGCTGGCCAATGAGTATGAGACCCGAGCAGTGGGTGAGTGTCCCATAGCTCTTGCCAAGATATCTCACTCAGAAGGCTTGAGAGGGAAACGGAAGGGGAGGGGCTGCTTTAGGTAAGGAGGGGTAGAAGATCCCAAGGCCTTCCAGAGAGCAAGGTCCTTCTGCTGTGTCCGTACAGAATACCAACAGAGAGGGGTGTCCCTAGGTGTTGGAGGCAGCTCAGTTCCATAAGCATGTGTCAATGCCCTCTGCATTAAAGAGCCCTGCAGACTATGTTGCATCTAAAGAAAGCATCTACGTCGTAAGGAACACATTTGGTCAGCTCTCTCTGTGCCTTCTGCATGCCTGGATCCTTACGCCCCATCTATTCAGGTTTTCACGGGGGATAGGCAGGCCAGGTTCCGTGTCTACCAGCTGAGCCCAGCCCTCCCCTCCATGACATGCAGAGCTGTTCACCGAGTGTTACAGTAACGATGAAGACTTGGCAGAGCAGCTACTGGTCTACTCCTGTGAAGCCTGGGGCGGGAGCAACTGTCTGGAGCTGGCAGTGGAGGCTACAGACCAGCATTTCATCGCTCAGCCCGGGGTCCAGGTAAGCAAAAGTCAGGCCCTGAGAAATGTACCCAGGGATGGGCCTGGCATCACGTGCTGCCAGTAGCATCATGAAAATGACATTGAAAGTCCACTTTTCTCGTCCCATGTAAAAAAGCATTGAGGGAGTAGGCAGGTGACAATATGAAAGATGGTGACACATGCTTTTGTGAAAAGCGTCACCTGAAGAGATGGTACAGAAGTGCATCAGTCAACTTTCCACCACTAAAGCCCAATGTCTGAGGTGATCACCTTTAAAAGAGAGAGGTTTATCTGGGCTCACAGTACTCAGAGGGTTTAGTTCATGGTGGGTTGTGCCCATTGCTTCTGGGGGCAAGATGAGGCAGGGCAATATGGCCAGAGCATGTGGTAGAGGTAGACACTTGCCTCATGACAGCCAGGAAGCAAAGAGGAGGTAGGGGAGGAACTGAAGTCCCTTTGAGGGTGTGACCCCCAATGGCCTTCCCTCGGTCCCATCCTCCAAAAGATTGTGCCACCTACCCAAGTGTCATACTGGGAACTATGCTGCTAGGGATGGACCTTTGGCAAATATCTAAGACCCAAAACACAGTGTGATGCCCAGCTTTAATTGTCCACTTGACATACTGTAGAATCATCCAGAGTCTTGGGGAGGCATTGTCTAGTTGAGATTGTCCAGCGGCAGTATCTGTGTGTATGTGTGTGTGTGGGGGGGGGTTGCCTTGCTTATTTACTTGCTTGATTGCCTTGATTGATGTGGAAAAGTCCAGCCCATTATGTGTGGTCCTGTTCCCTAGCTTTGGATCCTGGACTGGAGAAGAATAGAGAAAGCTAGATGAGCATTAAGAATACATTAATTTCTCTCTGCTTTTGATTGTGGGTGTGACTGTGCCTCAGATTCCTGCCTTAATTTCCCCGAAATGATGGACTGTAACGTGGGACTATAAGCTAAAATAAACCCTGTCTCCCCAAAGGTGGTTTTTCTCTGGTATTTTATCACAGTAACAGAAACAAAAGTAAGACGCATAGCAAGGAGGAAGAATTCTTTGGGTTTCCACAAAGCAATTAGTGCATTATAATGATGAGCTGTCTCTAGGTCCCCCTGCCTGGGTCTTGGTCCACTAAAGCAGATGTGAGATGATTTATGCCATTTTTTACCTGTGAAATGGGCACGGCTGTGTATATTAGGTATTTCTCTGTGACAACACGACAGAGACAACTTAAACGAGGCAGACATATTTGGACTCGCTGTCTCAACTCAATGCAGCAGAGTTCCTGGTGCTGACACTTCACTCCTGGTAGATTAAGAATCAAAGGATGGGACTGGAAACTGGATTAGGCTATAACTCGACAAGGTGCACCTCAGTGACTGACCTCCACCAGTCAGACCCAAGAACCTCCCCAAATGGCACCACCATCTGGGGTTGAGGTGTTCAAGCCCATGAGCCTATGGCTGAGTTCTCATTCAAACAGAAGTGGCTGTGGTTGTCAGAGAGTTGCTATGGTGATGCCATGAGATTCTGTATGAAAGGGAAGGTCAGCCGTGTCAGCTGCTACCCCTGCTGTCATTATGAGTGATGGAGGAATCATGAGATGGGTAAAGGTGGTCTTGTGGCAAGTTAAGCAGGCAGCATCTTAACCATGCCCACCATTGCACTGGAACATTGTGGATCTAATCAGGTAGGGTGAGGGTGCCTGTTTCATGTTTCACCTGCACCATGCTTAGGGGGTGGGCGTAATTTTATTTTTGCGGACTCAGGGCTCAGATAGGTTCTGGAATATTTCCCATGCTTGCTTACTGGGAAGTAGTAGAGCTGGGATTTAATTCTCTGTGGATTGCCACCTACTTCAGACTTTGCATCATGCCAGGTGTCCAATAGACAGGCAGGCAGGCAGGTAGGCAGGCTTTCCATGGAAGCAGTTTGCTTTGGAGGTGAGCTGGAAGGGATTAGCAGGCAGTGAGCTAAGGGAGGAAGGAGTAGACCTGATGTGTTAAGAAGGAAGGTGGCCCTTGGAGCTCTTGGGAGCCTCTAGGTAGAGCCTGCTGCAAGCCTCATGGTGTTTAACATCTACAATGTTGTGCTTGCCGGGTGCTCTTTCTGGGATCCAGCTTGCCCATCCTCAGCCGAGCACGTATCTGTGGAGTAACCTCAAGAAGACATGGCAGGGCACACAAGAGAAACACTTGTCCTCCACTCAATAGAAGAGAAGGTGCAGCGCTATGGCCACAGCACACCAGTCCCAACCTTAGTGGCAATGAGCGGGCCCCAGCTTTCCCTTGCTCTGCCCTCTACATGCCAAGCCCCGCCTGGTTGGCTTGTTTTGGTTTTACAGTTGGGGGTTTCTTTGATGTAGTCAGGTCCCTTGCCTCCTTGTATCTTTTGGTGGCAATATGATGTTTCCAGTTTTCACCATCATGAAAGTCCTTCCTGCTCCACCTTCAGGGCCTGGCACGGTAGGGAGTGTCTCCATGTATTCTATTTTGACTTTATCAGCCTCTCCTTTCTTGGCTTCCTTTTAGCTTTGGAATAAAAGCATCCATCTGCCTCCAACCAGGAACCCCTGGGGACTCTACAGACTGCATTGGCCCTGCCTTTGGACTTAGCATCACTGGAGACCCATATTTGTTTAAGCTTACACAAATAGGAATGATAGTAGTTAAAAATTCATAGGCTTAGTGAGTTTTCACTCTGTAACCCTCTCTTTTAAAGCTCATATTACTGAACTTCGAAGAAAGACTTGAAAATCAAACAAGATTTTAAGTTGCTTCTTGATGCCTTAGAATCCAGGCAACATCTGGAAAACTAGAGATTAATATGGGGCTCAGTATTTTGGGAGTGTGCAGGGCTGGGAAGAGTGAATGACTGGGTCCTGTCCTTTTATACTTACATCAACAAGGACTGTCTTCTTTGCCTTTGTTTCCTCCTAGAACTTTCTTTCTAAGCAATGGTATGGAGAGATTTCCCGAGACACCAAGAACTGGAAGATCATCCTGTGTTTATTTGTCATCCCCCTGGTGGGCTGTGGCCTCGTATCATTTAGGTGTGGACTGAGGCATCTAATCATGTGTGTGAGCATCTGTGTGGTGTGTGTGTTTGAGCATTTGTTAAATGACTGTAAGCCTGGGACTTACAGCATTCATTGTGGCATCTGTGTGCATGATCTGTCATCTTCCCTGGTCTTTTCTGGGTTTTTTGAGCAGGTGGGCTTAAGATTGTCTTCAGTATCTGAGGCTGAATTTGGATTCTCTGATAACAAAACACAAAAACAAAAAACAACAAAACAAAAAACAAGGGTTGAACTTTGGCTGGATCAGCCTTGGGGTTCAGTTTTGCCCTGTCTGTTCCTGTTCCCTGTCTGTGGTAGAAAGTAAGCCATGAGCCTCCAGGTGAGAGTGTGTGTGTGTGTGTATGTAAATCTGTGTGAGTGACCGTGTGTGACTATATCAGTGTGTGTGTGTGTGTGTGTGTGTGTGTGTGTGCATCAGTGTGTATCAGTGTGTGACAGTGTGTGTGGCTGGTGACTCTGCCCCGTCTCTGGCTTGGTCCAGGAAGAAGCCCATTGACAAGCACAAGAGGCTGCTCTGGTCCTACGTGGCCTTCTTCACCTCGCCCTTCGTGGTCTTCTCCTGGAACGTGGTCTTCTACATTGCCTTCCTCCTGCTGTTTGCCTACGTGCTGCTCATGGACTTCCACTCGGTGCCGCACACCCCTGAGCTGATCCTCTACGCCCTGGTCTTCGTTCTCTTATGTGATGAAGTCAGGCAGGTAGGCAAGAGTTGCATTGTTCTCCCCAGGGAGATGAGAATAAATCCTGTTTGTGCCAGACAGGACACTGATAGACAGCACACCAAAGAGATGATGCTGCGAGTCGAGTTCATGGAGCCAGTGAGTTTATTGGGGTAACTGACCACAGAGTGGGTGACTCAAAGGCAGCAACATCATCAAAAGTTCACGCAGACAGCACATGAAAACTCTGAAAGCCAAAGCCAACTCCACCAGAGTCCTCCTACCCCAGTAACTGTGACTGTTTACTTCTGAGCACTCTGTGCTCCTTACCCCTCCCAGGAGATGGTGTTCCCGTTTGGAGGAACCGGTTACAACACGGGGCACTTCCTCAAGGTGTCCTCAGCGGGTAGCACCTTCCTGGCACCAAGAGCAATTGGAGCTGTTTCTGAACTACAAATGCAGTCATTATACTGCAAATGAATTCCTACTGGCTGATAATCTATGGACCTGAAGGTGATTTTCAAATTCTCAGCACCCCTGTGAGATCTCTTAATGTTGAATTCATGTCATAGTCCCTAACTAATGTTAACTGGTGGACATGGCTCATCCAGGGAAGGTGCCTCTCTTAGCATTAATGGCCAGCTTGACAGAGCCTGTTGCCATCTGAAGACAACCGCAACTGAGGAGTCATCTAGATAAGATTGGCATGTGGTTTTGTCTGTGGGGGACTGTCTTGATAGCTAATTGATGTACGAGGTCCCAGCCCACTGTGGGCATCGCCATCCCTAGGTCCTGGGCTGGATAAGAGAGCTGAGCATGAGCATGTAAGCGAGCAATGTTCCTTCATATTCCTGCCCTAGTTTCCCTCAGCAATGGAGTGTGACCTGGAAGAGCAAGTCCAGCAAATTCCTTTTCTCCTGAGTTGCTTTTGGTTAGAGTGTTCGTGTCAGGGAAACAGACATAAACTAGGACAGAGGAGGAAAGTGGTTGAGAGACCGTGGGCTGAGCTCCTCCATCGTTGGGAGTCTTCTGTGCACCCATCTTCACCATTGCCAGAGACAGCCTGTCAAGCAACTGGGGACCTGGGGGACCCTAATGCCTAGCACATCAAGTCTTGTAATAATCCCTGTGGGTTTGTTATGACCCTTGTGTGCAGTTTCTTGGGATGTCCTTGTTTGGGGATCTTTGCTCCACCATTGAGTCCAAACTCTAACCCCAGGCCTCATGGAGCAGGTACTTATTGAGGTAGTAGATGTTGAAGAAATCCATGTTGATGGTGAAGGTGGCACTGTCCTGACCCATGATGAAAACAGGTTCCAGAAATTCCTTTCAAATTCTGCGGTCATTCTGTCGTCTCTTGTTGTTGGCTGTTCTTTTACTCAAGCACCATGTTGGAATGTCAAAATGTTGTTGGTATTTTTATTCTTAACTCTTTGGGGGCCCACCACCCAGCTCCCAAATAAATCACACACAGAGACTTATTCTTTCTTATAAGTGCTCAACCTTAGCTTGGCTTGTTTCTAGCCAGCTCTTCTTAATTTAAATTATCCCATCTACCTTTTGCCTGTGGGCCTTTTCCTTTTCTTACTTCTGTATATCTTCCTTTCACTCTTACTCCATGGTTGACTGTGTAGCTCGGTGGCTGTCCCCTTCTTTTCTTGCTCCTTGGCCTCCCCTCCTCCTTCTTTCCCCCAGATTTCTCCTCCTATTTATTCTCTCTGCCTGCCAGCCCTGCCTATCCTTTATCCTGCCTTGCTATTGGCCACTCAGCTCTTTATTAGGTCATTAGACATTTTAGACAAGAAAAGTAACACAGATTCACAGAGTTAAACAAATGCAACGCAAAAGAATGCAACACATCTTTGCATCATTAAACAAATGTTCAGCATAAACAATATAACACACCTTAAAATAATATTTTACAACAGTCTCTTCTGGACTTGAACCTTAAAATACACACCATTTAGCAAGTATGTGCTAGGACATAACTTATGGGGTATTTACAGTTTACAAAGTAGAAGGCCTGGTGGTGGAAGAGATTCGAAGGGGCAACAATGCTGCCCTTGCCCATGTGGGGCCCCATCTAGTCTAAGAACATTATTTTGTCTTATACTGTAATGCTAACTCTCTCTGATAGATCTTTATGCACAGTCTCCAGGACTCCTGGGTTGTGAGGGATTCTGAGGCCCTGTTTGTCTATTCTCAGCATGGGTATGTCTTGACCAGTTGGCGATTGTGGATATGGGGACTGGGAGGGGTCCTGACTGTGGTGCCCATATGCACCTGTCTTCTTGACTAGTAGGGAAGCAGTATGGAAGGCGGTGGAGTGTCAGTGGGGGTGGAGAAGAAAGCCCCAAGACACACACGATGGCCTGAGTAGCAGTATACTGTCTGTAGTTCTGGAGGACTAAAGACCAGTTTAGTACTACGAAGGAAAATGTTCTCTTCTATCCCCTGGCTTCTTGACGTTTCTGGCCGTCTTTGCTATTGTGGATGGGACACTTTGACCCCTGGCCTCATGTCCTCATGGTGCCCTCCCTATGTGCAGGTGTGTCCTAATTTCTTCACTCCCTGGGGACAACAGTCATGTTGGATCAGATCAGTTCCATCTGCAGTGGCCTGATTTCCAAACAAGGTCACATTCCCAGGTAGGGAGTTGAGGACTTCAGTCTGGAGGTATAGTTCAGCCCATAGCACTGGCCTCTGTCTCGGTGGCCAGCCTTTTCACTCCAGTTCTTTTGACTTATGAGCGTCACCAGCAGAGTGGGACTGAGGTATTCTGTGTTCGAGGGTCTATTGACTCATGGCCAATAGGAGATTAAGTCCTGAGGATTTGGTGGGGCAGAGAAGGAAAGGGAAGGGGAGAGGGAGAAAAAACCCAGTCGGAGTTGCAAATAGGCAGTAAGTTATGTGTAGTAATTTTGTTGCTTTGTTCTCTTTCTCTGGGTGCATTTCCTGCTGAAGAAACTCCTAAGAGAAGCAGACACGTGGATCGAGCTGTCTCCTCTTGTACTGACCCAATAGGGAGTCCTCTGAGTGTCCCTAGGTCCTGACATATGCCCTGGTGGTCCCCAGAGCAGCATCAAGGGTGGGGGTGATCCACTTTAGACTTTCATTTGCTATAATATCTGAAGCTAGAGCTGGTATTGTCATGTTGCTGAGAACGTTGTAGAAATGCTGGGTCAAACAGGGTGCTCATAAGTCATTCCTGAGAGTCACCATGGGTATAGATACTTAAGCCAGAGATGAGGAGATAGACAGAGGAACTTTATCCTCACTCCCTATTGAGCAGAGAAACCCTGGTGGCCTTTTCTTGGAATGGTTGATAAAACATGAGCAGGTCTGCAGACCACTGCCATAAAAGTTTTGTCCTTGAGGAATCTGTCACTAGAGGGCGCTGCTTCCCTTCATTTCTGCAGAATCTTGTCTTTGGATTCCTAAACTGGGTTGGTTTCCTTCACCGATTGACTGCAGGACTGTGCAGTCAGTCTTACCAGACAAGATTTCACAGTTGTTAGGGGAAAACCCCTAACAACAGGACAGTGTCTGTTTTAGATTGTATCTGGGACTCAGAAGCCCAATACTGTCCGGTGATGAATGATGTCCCTTGCCCAGGGGAGGGTGCTCACACCAAATTGGGGATTTCTAACCTAGACAGTCAACAGTGCAGGCCCAGTTAACTCATTCTTAGCAGAGCTAAGCAGACGTGGTGGATGTTTGTGTAAAACGTGGTAAGTTCCACCCCACCTTCTCGGAAAGTTCCTCTAGGTCTGAGGCCGTCACAGGGCAAAGGAGACGGTGAAGACACCTGGTGTTTCATGAACATGGCTTGGCCATGTTCTTTCCCCCTTAGAGAAGAGGCTTCTTTTCATTTAAAAACCACAATCTTTCCTCCCTGTAGTCGTATTCTAGTGGCCCGGGGTTCATCTATGTGTAATGCAGGCCAGGCTTCTGGAGTCCCTCAGACGAGGATGGGCGGGGGGGTGGTAAGTACCGATGGGTATGTACCAACCTGCCGCAGGTGAAGCAGAGAGCAGGTGGGCAGGGCCTGTGCCAACCACTCTCTTATTGGCAGGCATGGAGTAGCAAATGGCTGTTGGTGCCCTGAGGGTCGGCACTGCCCAGATAGATGGATGCTCCTGTGTCCTCTGCAGAGTCCTAACCTTGAACCAGTCTCCCCATAGAGGGACATGGTCTAACCCAGGCTGCCCGGACCTGGGGGAATTCACCATTTCATCATCTTCTGGCCATGTTCTCCTCCTTTGCTCACTCAAGCTGTGTGTCCTGCCTCCCTCCTGCATTCCAGCTTGCAGGATATTGGTAGATTCTAGAAGCCCACCGTTCCCAGCGTGGGCATCTTAGTCACCATGTCTAGGCTTTGGGGTCGGGGGCAAAGTAGGAAATAGGGTATTGAAGTCTCAGATAGACTCGGGTGGGTGAGTTCGTGGGAAGTCATAAACATCCATCATTTATGGGACTCAGTACCACACCTCGCTGAATCCACGTCCCCTGTTTTGCGCTGTTCCCGGGGTCTGGCCCTCAGACTGCTGGTAGCCAGATTCTGAACTAGTAGGCAAATGGAAGGGTTACACAGCCAGGTTGGAGGTCTTCAAGCCTAGTTTGTGGAGTCTAATCAGTAATCTTTCCTCCCTGTATTTTTTAAAGGTCTCACTAATCAAGTTGTACTACTATATGCACTCTATTATCTATGTTTACAATAAATAAACAAATATATGGTGACGACGGTTGGGATGACACTTGATAATTGTGCAGTGCACAGTCGACACAGCTGTCCACGGTCACCTGGCTGTTTCATGTTTTCCCACATGGGTCACATTCATTCTCTATGGTTTCATTTTGAGAGAATGGGAGAACACAACCCTTTTCTTGACTCTGGTAGCTGCATATGTATAAGAGAACATCCAGTTTCCTGGTCCCCTTGGAACACGGGTTCTGGTAGGGCTCACTTGACACAGCAGTCTCGAAAGTGCCCTAGAAGAAGCTGCAAGTCTGCAGGACTGCCCAAGCTGCACAAATTTCCAAGTTGTCCATTCTTTTGTCTGCCTCTTTCTTGTCACAGTGGTACATGAATGGGGTGAACTATTTTACCGACCTGTGGAATGTTATGGATACACTGGGGCTCTTCTACTTCATAGCGGGTATCGTATTCCGGTAAGTGGCTCCTCCCCCCTTCCCACTTTCAGGCATTTTGGCACAAAAGATGGGGAAAATAATCCTGGATATCTCAAGTCCATGCATGGGACAATCCCTTCATGCCCCACCGAAGATGACCACAAGAGGCCATTGTTCCTGCCCTGTGGAGACACAACTTGGCCAACATAAAATACTCCTTCTTCCCTGTCCTGGGTTCTTTACAGTTTTCCTTTTGGTTTTTAAAATAGGCTTTGGGGGTGTAATTAGAATCCAAGGGGACAGTACCGGGGATGTTGGGTGTCTTCCAATGTGACTCATTTGGGCCCACTTAATCTGAGATGCATGTCGCCCTCATGTTATCAGTAAGTATATCCCTCCAACCTCACAGCTAGAGTGTGCGAGAACACAACTAAATCTCAAATGGTGATCAAAGGCCTGAAACTGAGCTGGGGAGATGGACCACTTAGCCAAGTGCCCACCACGTGTGAGGACTGCTTTCAGTCCCAGAGAACCCATGTGAAAACTGAGGTTGATGGCACCCATGTGTGACCTGAATCCAGCCTGGGCAGGGCAGGCAGGTCTCTGTCAGTGAGCTCCAGGTTCAGGATGAGGCCCTGTGTCAAAAACCACGACAGAAAGCAGTATAACGAGACACTGATGTGTAAACCAGGATGCATACACACATACACACCACCGTAAACTTTGAGATGCCACGCCGTGTCCCACAGATTCTCCTTCTCTCTCCATAGGCTGCACTCATCTAACAGAAGTTCTCTGTACTCTGGGAGAGTCATTTTCTGTCTGGATTACATCATCTTCACTCTAAGGCTTATCCACATTTTCACCGTGAGCAGGAACTTAGGACCCAAGATCATAATGCTACAGCGAATGGTGAGAACCCGAATCACCAGCCAGCATCCTTCTCTTACCCCGCTCAGAGTCCATGGTTGGTGAACTCTGTTCATGGCATAGCTTGCTTCACAGGGGCATTGGTTTTCATCTGTTCTTACCAGAGGCCGCTCCCAGGGGAGATTGATGGGAAAGAGGGCTCTGAAGAACCAACAGAGTTGATGTGCCAGCAAGTCACTGGGGTTTCCTGAAAGTTTATACTTTGAAGTACGCTTCCATTAGAGTTTCAACAGCTCACTCAGAGTATATGCAGGGAGGGGCTGTTGTGCCATTTTTATAGGCAGGATTGTTCTGTTTTAAGGGGTAGAACATGTTGCTCTAGAGATAAATGGCAAGCCAGATACCTAGAGATGATGCGATCCTAAATTCCACACCCTGTAATACCAATGTGGGAGAAAGGCCCCACCAGGCTTGTTTTACATACACAAGAGGAGAACATGGAGGCTGGGGATGTCTGGAAATCAGATGGGCCACTGGATGAGCTCATGTGGATATCCCTTTCCAATGCTGAGGCTGAATGTGTGGTTTTAACTCAAAGCATCGCTGAGGCATCCAGTCATCACTATGACATTAAGCTGTGTGTGCAGAACACAGCAGCAGAAAAGAAGAAGAAGAAGAAGAAGAAGAAGAAGAAGAAGAAGAAGAAGAAGAAGAAGAAGAAGAAGAAGAAGAAGAAGAAGAAGAAGAAGAAGGAAGAGGATTGTCTTTGTCTCACAAGGGCTGCTTTTGTTTACTGAAGAAGTAATTCTGCAAAAATAATTTGGGGATTCAAAGAAAACAAGCATTGCTAGGTGTGGCTGGAGCCCACTCTTCCCAAGTGAGGCCCTCTGGTTTTTGAACTGGACCCTCGCTCACAAAGCTACTGTATCTGAGCTTTTGGAGGTCAGTAAGCAATAGTGCAGGAGTTGGGTTCTATTTGGGAGACATCTCCAGACCTAAAGGTGATGATGTTCTATTTTTAAGTTAGTGGCTGAGGGCTGGGGGTGTAGCTCAGTGCTAGAACACTTGCCTGGCATGTGCAAGGCCCTGGTCTTAACCCTAACAGTTACGTCCATCAATTGGCATGAGATAAACAAATAAGTGGCCAGGCAACTTGATGACTTAAAATTTTCAGGTCCTTGAACCCTCTCTCTGCTCCTCTCTGTGGCTGGCTGGGAGTGGTCAGGCTTGGGAGTCAGTCACTGAGGGCACAGTTCTAACTAACTGCTCTCATCTCCCTTGGCAGTTGATCGACGTTTTCTTCTTCCTGTTCCTCTTTGCTGTGTGGATGGTGGCCTTTGGCGTGGCCAGGCAGGGGATTCTCAGGCAAAACGAGCAGCGCTGGAGGTGGATCTTCCGCTCAGTCATCTACGAGCCCTACCTGGCCATGTTTGGCCAGGTGCCCAGTGACGTGGATGGTAAGCCCAGCTCTGCGTGGACAGACGTGGAGCTGGTGGTGACTGTCCTGATCCTGTCACCTTTTTTCTTTGTTCCTAAATACGATCTTACCTTGTTCACATTTCAATCTTTAAGTCTTTCTATTTCTTTATCAGTATTTTTTGAGACAAGATCTCTAGTCCAGGTTGGCCTTGAATTTCCTAAGTAGCCAAGGATGACCTTGAACTCCTGATCCTCCCACCTCTGATGACATTGAGGGCATGTGCCACCATGCCTGGTTATAGTAGGGCTGGGGGTTGAACCCAGGGCTTCATGCATGCTAGGCAAGTCTTCTACTAACTAAACCACATGTCTAAGTTAAAATTCATGTCATTTCCCAGTTACTAGGGTAGAGTGGAGCAGTCCTTATTTGTTCCCACAGGAGTGTTGTCGACTGTGCTTCCTTAAATGTCACAATGTCCAGGTTCCCATCTATTCCTAAAAAGCATGTGGAAGATAGACCCTAGAACCTTCGGTTGAAGCTTCCATCATTAGCCCAGCAGGTGGTGGAGAGAGGCTGACGGTGGCATGGTGGCTCTGTAAAAGCCAGATGTGGGACATACACAAATTTGTATTTTGGGTGGACTGTGTGGAGAGGCTTCATGATGTTGATAGTAGCCCTGACTTGTCATCTCTCATCCTGTCAGCATGAACTAAACTGACTGACAGTTTCCTTGGGCCAGAACTAAGCCTGGCTGGTGGTATTTCTCAGTCCCTCTGGTTTTCCCTCCAACAGTTTCTGTCCCTCAGACTAAGTTTCTTCCAGCTCTAAGAAACAGATCTCTTCCATGCAGGGGTGGAAAGACCCTTGGGACCCTCTAGTTGGTCTCAAGGACAGCTCCTCATGTTGCTGGGTTGAGTCCTACAGAGAAGCAACACTTAGGGGGCAGGCAGGGCAGACATGTGCTCTGTGTGCACTTTTCATCCTTGGGTTCTTTCAGGGACTACCTGGCACAGTGGCACAGAGTCACCTTCCTATACTGTGTGCCCATGCTGAGAACAGGTGCTCTGGCTGGGTGTCCCTCCTCATAGCCAGAGAATTTATGTCTGTAACCTTCTCTGAACTCACACAGACCCATACTGGCAAGTTCAAATAAAAGGTCCCCACCTCCTTTGAAGACGGGAGCTTCCTCCAAGGGTCATGCTGGGCTCTTCCCACCAAGGTCACAGTGATATAATCAGAGCCCTTTTGGGACACTCCACTCTTGTTCTGGGGACCAAATGGGGCCTTGTACTACCTAGGAAAGAGTTCCACCACTGAGCTATATCCCTTACCCACAATATGTCAGACCGTTGATGTCCTTGACAGACCTGTGTTACTGTCACTTGTTGCTGTGACAAAAAAAGAGACAGAAACAATGTAAGAGAGAAAAGGGTTATCTTGGATCACAGTTCAAGGGTATACAGTCAGTCCATCATGACAGGGAAAGTGTGGCGACAGGAGAGTGAGGTGACTTGTCTTATCACATCCACAGTCAGGAAGCACAGATAGATGAGAGACGGGGGGGGGGACAGATAGACAAACAGACAGACAGATAGACAGACATACAGAGAGGTGGCAGGAGAGTGAGGTGACTCGCCTTATCGCATCCACAGTCAGGAGGCACAGACAGATGAGAGAGAGAGAGACAGAGAGACAGAGACACACAGAGACAGGGAGAGACAGAGAGAACTACTGATACTCAGCTCACTTCCCCCTTTTTTTTTCAGTCCATGGGTTGGGCATGGGAAGAAGCTGCCCACACTGAGGGTTGAAGTCTAGCACATTCGTGGACATGCCCAGAGTCATCTCCTAGGTGACTTCAAATCCCAAGTTGGCGATCAAGATTAACTCAACACCGGCTCTGACACTGCCCTTAGATGCTAGTGCTCAGCTAGGTTTAGCTGATTTCACAATCCCTCATCACCCCAAGCAGAAGGTTCTTATCATCAGCGCTCTGGGGTCTGTCACTCAAGCTCTCCTTGTGTCCTCTGGGTCTTTCAGTTGTGTGCTGCAGCTGCAGCTGGCCTTTGGTAAAGGATTGATTTCTGTTACAATCCTCTAACACTGACCATGGCTTTCGTTATGAGCACAGTGGCCCAGCAACGCAGCACTGCCCAGTTTTCTCTCCCGGCCCTCTGTCTTAGCATATGCTGCCGCCACTGCTTTGGGCTCCTGCCCCTTCCCATTTGCTCACACGGTTGTTACTCACTCATCCTTCTGTTCATTTCAGGGATGGTTTCTCTGAGGGAAACTGTTTCTGGGTGATCCAACTAGGATTATGGCCCCATTACATTATGGCCTCCTTTGGGGACTTTGTGCAGGTTGAATCTTTAAACTGACTGAGGAGGTTAGATGCTTCTTGGAGCACAGGACATGGCCACACTCCTGGCTCTAGTTTCTGTTGCTGTGACAAGACATGCTGACCAAAGACAGCACTTCCAACTCATAATGCATCACCCTGGGGAAGTTAGGGCAGGAGCTCGAGGCAGGAACCTGGAGGCAGGACCCACCGAGGGATGCTGCTTGCTAGCTGTCTCATTGGATAATGCTTAGTTAGCCTTCTACCTCATCCTAGGTTGTACCCCTACCCTCCTTCCAGCAGCCTAGAGACGGCACTTCCCGTGGTGGGCTGGACCCTCCCACATCAACCATCAATCAAGACCATCACTCATAGACACAGCCGTACTGATCTTGGCAACCCTTCTATTGAGACTCCCTCAGATGACTCTAGGCTGTGTCACGTTGACAACTGAAGCTAACTAGGACACCCTCTTCCTTTGATCTTGGTCTTAATGAAGTCCCAGTTTCCTAGTGGCTGTCTGGTGGGCAGGAGGCTCTGGAGATTGTACCCGAGGCATCAGATGACTCTGTTCCCGCATCTCCTGGCTGGCATGGTCCTCGCTTCTCCAGAGGGGCCTCACTGGCCACCCGGTTCTGTGCCCACAGGAACCACGTATGATTTTTCCCACTGCACCTTCTCGGGAAATGAGTCCAAGCCACTGTGTGTGGAGATGGATGAGAACAACCTGCCCCGCTTCCCTGAGTGGATCACCATCCCGCTGGTGTGCATCTACATGCTCTCTACCAACATCCTGCTGGTCAACCTCCTGGTCGCCATGTTTGGGTATGTCTGTGTCACACATTTATGGACTTCCACTGTGGGCTGGGCCTATGCCAGACAGGCAGGAAGAGTGTGGGCAGAGATAATACCTACCTTGAGGAGCTGAGAGTAGAGGCTATTGGGAGCCTAGTGAGCTTCTGTGATTGGGGGCCTTAAAAGGACCACATTTTTTAAAAATCCAGGCTTTTCTATAGGCCGTTGGTTCTTTGACTGATTTGACCCCACAGACAAGCAATGCGACTAGCTCCATTAGATCCAGGCTATGCTTAGCATCATGTCACAGTTCCCCAGAGAGCAACTGAAGTAACAGCTTTTCTTGTTGCTGTGACAGAACACCTAACACAGGCAATGAGAGGAAGGGTGGATTTGTTTTGGCTTATGGTCTGAGGGCACAGTCTATTGTGGTGGGAAGCCATGGGAGTACGGGGTGGGAAGCAGGTGCTCACATGTGTCCGCTGTTCATCTTCCTTTTTTCTTTTCCCTTTTCTATTCAGCCAAGTACCCCAGTCCATGACCACTTAGTACTGTCAGTGTCCAAAGTGAATCTTTTCCTGTTAAAACTCTGTGAGCACTCTCACAGACAAACATAGAGGTGTGTTTCCCAGGTGATTCCAAGTCCAGTCAAGTTGCCTGTGTTGGCACAATGGCTGCAGTACAAATCACCTCTAAGGTTCCTTGTGTGTGTGTATGTTTTAAAGTAAGACAAACTTACACAAAACAATACACAACAACCAGTAAAACCTCAGATGTATAATCCAAAAATTAAAGCTCCCAGGAGTGCCATTCATCCCTAACTTGGAAGGTATAGGCATCAGAGGTTGCTTCTGGCACAGTTTGGTCTTAGCCTCTACCGGGAAACACTTGCCAGGTTATTCATGAGGCCTCTCACATAGGCTTGCTTCCATGGGTTTGCAGGACTTCATTTTGTGCTTGCCCACCTTGTTTAACTGTGGTAAGTTTCTCACTTTCAATTGGTTTCTTAGAAGCGCAAATGATGCTTGAAGTGACATCTGGAACAGACAGAACGATCTGAGTGTCTTTAGCTGTGAGCAGCTCACTGATGGTTCCGTTGTGCCATAATGATTGATATATAATCTGCCTGTTTCACAACTTACATATTTGGTTACAACCCATATAGCTGCTGTAATTTGAAGTTTGCCTTAGGATGTTGATGAATGATGGGATGAATCCACAATATGCAGATTGTTGACATGGTTCTGATGACCAGTTATGGTGTGGTTTCTTTCCTACTGTTAGTTCTGAGGCTAGCTGGTCTGTGAAGGACACCAAGTGTCCCTCTGTTTGTCACAGCCTGAGTCAATCATTCTGTTTCAAGAATAATGTTCCCTGTGGCTCTTAGTGTAAAGAAGTTCAGTCGCTTCTAGAAGAGACATAGCTGTTTTCATAACTATTTTAATGCATACCTTTGGAAAAATCTGAAAGATGGGAAATAGCTGAATCGCTAACTAATAATACTTCCAGATCATTGTGATATAGGAGACAGATAAATTAGGAACACTTAGCTCTACGGCATCTAACATAGTCACAGATTTCTTATGAAAAGAAAATCAGAGGTTAGAAGATGTCGAGGTAATGTTGCCTAAGCAACCGCATGCTAAAAATGACATTTGGAGCCAAAGAGCCAACACTGAGTTAATGGCACCACACTTGATAACCTAGTCTCAGAAACTAACCTGCCACCTGCAGTGTTTCCAAGATTACACACAGCCTGCCCACTGCTGTGAGCATGGTCAGGTGCCAACAGAACACTGGACAGCTCAGGGGAAACTGACCCCCAAGTAAATCTGCACAAATTGTGGTTTCAGTGTGAACAGTCCTCCACAAACACACGTTTGAACACTCGGTCCCCAGACGGTGGCACTGTTATTGGGAAGTGGCAGAACATTTAGAAAGCAAGGCCAGCCAAAATAAGTGAGTGCTTGGTGGCAGGACTCAACTCTGCTTCTGGTTTCCAGTTTCTTCCTCTCTCTCCCTCGTACTCTCGCTCCCTCCATCCCTCTTTTGGACCTCTGCGAATGTGGGCAAACCACCCGGCAGTTTCAGCTGCTAACTGCTCACCCTCGCCTTCCCTGCACCAGTCAGAGTGAACCTTCCCTTCCCGAACTTGCTTCCTGTCAGGTATCAGTGATCAGAACAAGGACCAGCAGCAGTCAATGACACAGCATTGAGCTGTCGGAGGTCTCAGAGCCTCTGTGCTGTGAGCTGTCATGGCAGCTGCCTGCGTGGAAGGACCTCGTCCTTTACCACCTGTTACCTGCCCTGTGGTCAGGAAGTGAGGGAATCAGAGCTGAGCTGGAACTTTCCTGCTAAGGAGACGCAGGTAACGAAGAGCTGCACCTGTGTCAAGGTGATGCGTGTTGAACTTACCTCTGTGTCTTCTTAGGGAAGTCGCTTCACCCCATCCAGCTGTAACCTCTTACAGGTCTTCGGTGTGATGGTTCTTGTCACCTTCCCCTGAGGCACCTCCTCCAGCATCCCTGGCTTAACCTCTCAGGGACCTCTGGCTGGGAGTCTGAGAGTATCAGAGACCCTGCTGTGTTTGTTCTGTGAGCCTGTCCCTGACATGCTAGTTCTCATGAGTCCTAAGCTGTCTGGGGATTGCTTCCTGAGCAAATGGCCCCAGGATGCCACTCCTGTGTAAAACCACATCATAATATTTAGGGGAAAGCTTATGCACCCACAATTGTGACCTCATTAGCTACAGTGTAAATGTGCCTGTGGGGATGGTCCTGGAGTACTGGGGGCTGACTAGATGGCATTCCATAGGAAAGCAAGAGGCGCTAACAAATTTGTGATTCGTTTGCACTGAGGTCATCCATGCTGGAGGCTGGAAGGGAACCTAGAGTCAGGGAATGGCTTGGACATGTGCAGGTCCAGGGCCCAAGGGAGGCAGGCAGCTCTGAAAGGGATTCACAGACCATGCAAATTTGTGTAGCTTCTAAGAGCCTTCTTCTTGTACCCTAGGAGTAATGCACATTTATTACCAATATGTAGGAAAGTAGACAGAAAAGAGTACTCCCCAGGCACAAACTAAAACTTTGGTGTGACATCAGTGGTCTAAGGGAAGATGTGGAAATGGAGTTTAAATTTATAAGACAACAGTTAACTGTAATGATAATAGCAAGTATTTACGGGTCTTTCCCAGTCAAGAGCATTGTGTGTGCACTGGAGTGCTTACTGCTCTCGCAGAGAACCAGGGTTCAGTTCCCATTCCCTACGTGGTGACTCACACCTGTCTCTAGCTCCAGCTCTAGGAACTCCAACGCCCTCTTCTGGTCACTGTGGATTCCTGAACACATGTGGTGCACATAAACTCATGCAGGCTCACACACATACACTTGAAATAAAAATAAATAAATCTTTGAGAAACAAATCTAGCTGAGAAGTCTATTTGGATTTTAATTTATTCTAAAACCTGCTGTTGTTTTCACATCCAATTTTTTTCTTTATAATTTTTTTTCAGATGGTACATTCTGATTTGACCACTTTTTCTATTTTGGTTTTTACTACCAAATGGTTTTCATTACTGAAGATTTTTTTAAGTCATTAAAACATCTGTTGTACAAGTCCTCCCCTCATTATTCTTACTCAAAACTCTCCTAACTTTTCGTGCATATTTAATTGTACGAAAGAGCCCAACACTCATTTGTGAGTTTTTTATTTTCTTCTTTTGAAAAAAATCTGATGATCTTTGTGGAATTATTTAGGGGGAAACTGTGTCATAATCTCCAGAAACAGTGTCACATTCACAGTGTTCAGGTATCTATGGTTGTCAATAAACTTCTGTGGGTCTTTTTGTGTGGACTCCCAGGGTTTTGTAATTCCCAGTCATTTAGGCCTGTGAGCAAATGTTTTCTGTTTTCTATGGTTTTTATTTCAATGACGACTTTTTGCTGTATAAAAAGGCTTTTTAAAGATTCACCTATTCATTGTGTAGCAAGTCTTCGTGAAACATCTCCTTTCTTTTGATGACCTTGTGGCTGGTGTCCCCTTCCTCTTCAACTCTTCATTTGTTATGTCACTTCCTTCTTCTCTGGTCTGTGTTCCAGAAGCCTCTCCTGTAAGTACTAAAATATTTCCCCTTGATCTGGAGTTATGAGGCATCACACAAACGATGGATTATAGCTATGTTGTTAGCATTCCACAACCCTTCTGCTCTGTGGCCATGGCATATTATCCCTTTAATGTACGTCTGGTTTTAATCTGTGCATAAAGCTATCTGAATTCCAAGCATCTGCTGAAGGCTAGAAACATCTCCAATCTCTGCGATTTTCTCCCTCCAAGGGGCTTCTGTTTCCTTCCTCCCCTCTCCTGCTCCACAGAGGGTACTGAGTTGGCCTGCTGCCCACCACCAGACCACTGAGATATTGGTAGGAACAATACCTTCCTAACAGGATATTGGGGAGAAGGTATGGAGGGGCAGGTTTTAGGGTTTCTTGGGGAAGATGCAGGTGGCCAGTGATCACCTGGAAGATGTCGAGCACTGTCTTGAGTTGGTGTGGGTGAGGCTGACTCCAAGCCTCTGATGCTTGTGTACACTAAGAGGCATTTTCATAGAAGGCCTTTCTTTACAGAATCTACAGAAGTTAAAACTAACTTCTAAAGAGAGTTGTGGTGGTAGCACAAATGGTAATGCATTTCTATGCAAGCCTGAAGACCTGAGTTAACGATCTGTGACCTACATTAAAAGTCAGGCATGATAACACACTTGTCAGCCACACCCCAGCACCAGAGAGGCAGAGACATGCAGATCTCTTGGCCTGACTACTCAGCCAACCTTGTGCATTGCAGGTCAGTCAAAGTAACGGTCTTAACAAAAGAGAAAGGTTGACAGTGCCCAAGGAACAGCACCTTTTCTTGACCCATGCTACACACACACATACACACACACACTCACAAACACACACACTCACAAACACATGTAAATAATACAAAATTATCTTGGTAAAGCAATTTGATGCCATGCTCAATTATCAGCTTTCCATGGAGGACTCCATGTTTATTTGATGGAATCTGGAGATGATTTAAGAGAAAAAGAAAAATCTAGAAGCTGCTGTCATGCAGGCAAGGTGGACCTTGGCTTTTGGGTGCTCCCTCAAGCCTCGTGGGGGGGGTGAATTCAGGTTTCACCATTTGTCAGATGCTCCCAGGGGTCATCTTGCCCATGAGGTGCAGAGGAAATTTCTATTCTGACAGGAAGGGCCTTGAAGTTTGGTTCTCCAGAGGAAGAAAGGAAACAGTGACACACGGGCTCTTTGGGGTGGAGAATGATAACACAAAGGCAGAGTTGTGATTGGCAGGCCCTACCTACATTCCTCAGAGGTAGGGATTGCAGACCTTCCCCAGAAGGGCCTTTGGCCAAATGGATGCCAAAAAAGTGATGCCCCATGGCCTTGTCCTGGTCTGGACTTCTCTGTTCTTCCTAGTCATTCTCAGAACTGTGAATTGTGCAGAAATAAATGAAGGATTGCAGATGGCTTCAATCTGCCAGTTCCTGAGCTACATGATGTGAAAAACACAAAATGTGTTTCAGTGAGTCCGAATGGCCAGTGCAGGCAAGGCACAAACTTCATCCCCAGCGGGCCTTTCATCAGAGTTCCTCTCTGAGCTCCCAGAGGACAGGAGGGAGGCACTTACGCTACTTGCTGCAAGCATTAAAATGTTCCTCCTTCCATCCAGACATAACAACATCTTTTGTATAAAACATCAGAAAACAACATTTGATGCATCAAAGTGAATGCAGTTGCTTTTGTTTGGGATTTTGAATTTTGAGCAATCAGTATCCATTTTTGGAATAAGTGCATGAAATTGTAAGACTATCTCAGAGTTAATGATTAGAAAAAAATATGGTTGTTCTGCCAGAAGGCAGAGATCTGTGACTTCTGGCAGGTTCTTAGCCCAGTGTCACTAATCTGGGGTACTTCTGTAGATCTGAGCCACTGCTGTGGCCAATGAGGTTGGTGTCCTTTGTAAAGAGCAAAGCCAGCTGAGGACGGGGAGGATGATAATGATGGCAGGCATGGTGTTAGTACATTGGGAAGAAATGCCAGGTGAGCTATCAGACCCATTCTCTGGATCCACGGTCCTGTTTGCTTTGTACCTAATGATTCTGCTATGGAAAGTAGATGAAAGGAGCAGTTGGTCAGCCACTGGCCTGCCTTGTAGGAGCTTACACATGTGGTCATTCAATAACCATGGGTTTCCAACCTTTAGAGACTTCATCGTGTTCAAAATGCACACTGCCCAAATTGTCAAGTACTTTGTAGTTAACCCAAAATGACAAGTCACCCAGTCAAACCCCTTGGAAACAGTAGAACTATCATAACATCACGGATTGTATTCTTCTGATGTCGGACAGACTTGGGGATAGATTGCTAGACCAAATTCCAGCTTCAACATGTCAGTTTGCCTGCCCTTTCTGTGCCTCAGTTTCCCAATCTGTTTGTCATAGATGATAACAGGCCTTACAGAGTTATTTGCATATTAAATTAGTCAACACAAATAGGCTGCTTAGAATAGCATCCTGTAGGGACTGGGGATGTAGCCCAGATGGTAGAGAGCTTACCTAGCATGTCTGAAGCTCTGTGTTAGGTCTGAAGCACCACATAAACCAGGTGTTTGTGGCTTATGCCAGCAAGCAGCCCTAGGGTTGGAGGCAGGAGAATGAAGAGTTCAAGATCACCCTCAGCTATGTAGTGAGCTGGAGGTGCTTCAAGAGTAGGAGGGCACAGATAAATCAATAAATCAGTCCCTTACATATTGAAAGTGTTCTCTATTTTATACCTTTGGTGTTCTGGTAACTTCAAAGTCATTGCTATAAAGAGTTATACAGTAAAATCAGCATTGTAATAATTATGTGCAGCATTCAGACTTCTTATGTGATGCTTAGAAAGTATTAGGGCAGGAGAACCAAGCCCATCTGTGATACTGGAGATGCCACTTCTTCACAGAGTCATGATTTACGTGGTGAGACTGTGCCGGAAGTATGAGTCTGAGTCTCGTTATTTCCACTAACATATAAAAGTTTTCCAAAGTACAAATACTATTTATAAACCTGATTTCAGTGGCCACATAATGAAATCGCACCTATCATCCATAACCAGGAGGCATGCTCTCTGTGTCTGATGTAAGGGGCATGGGTGTCTCTCATCTGCAGCATCTAAGGAGCCACGTGTGCACGTTCATTTCTGTATAGTTTTGTCACTATATCCTCATCCCTAGCTTGAACTCCCAGGACTGGCGTCACTGGGTCAAAGTGGTGAAACTTTTTAAGGCTCCTTAAAAAAGAAAGAAAGAAAGAAGGAAGGAAGGAAGGAAGGAAGGAAGGAAGGAAGGAAAAAAGAAAGAAATGAAATGAAACCTTTAAGTCAAGCTAAAAATATATAGGCTGGTAATCAGTTGCCAGGACCTCTGCCTGCCACTGTCATACTATTGCTGAATCCAGATGGGAAAAGAAGCAGAGACCAAAGTGAGTTTCTCAGTGCTCAGCAAAATTGAAAGAAATGGGAAATCATACTTCTGGTTAGAAAATTGAGAGCCCGTGTCTCCATTAAGAGGCAAGTTTTCTTTGGAAATGTTTTCTTTTTCCTTTTAGAAACCATGCCTTTCAGATTCTTCTAAGTTGTAGTGTTGTCTATTTCACAGTGCTCACGGTTCCTATAAATCTGTGGTGTTTGGCAGAGACTTCCATTCAGCTTTCTGATGCCTTCTCAAGAGTTAGAAGAGGGGTGTGAATTCTTGCCTGGTTAGTTCCCACAATTCGCCTCACCCAAAGTAATATGCACTTTACCCAAATGAAACAGTTGGTTTTCTCAGATGAGACACTTGGATGAAACTTCTAAACTGTGGATGGACTCAACCAGCCACCTCTTTGTACGCTCCATTAACTTCAGCTGTACTGGAGAGAGCTGAGCACTGCCAATACATTGGCTTGTAATCTTCATAGTCAACGAGTTAACATTGTTCCTTAGGTGGAGAGGGACAGCTCTTTCTCATCTTGGTTCCCAGAAACTATGTGCCTGTTTATCTCATGTTTACTGAAAGGAAAAGTATGGGTTCAGGACCCCCAAGACCAAGTTCTCAGCACAAAGGAGGTTTATTTGCCCCAGAGGGACAGAGGGCAGGGATATGGGACAATGACAGGAGACAGAGGATGAGGGAGAAGGGAAGAAGGGGAAGGGGTAGGGATAATTATCCTGGAGGACAAAGGATTGCCTCTGGATAGAGAGGAGACAGACATGGCATATAGGTAAATGGCAGTTTATAAAGGTACAAGGGGAAACGTGCATTAAAATGAGGTATTTAATCTTAGTTGAGCATGTTAATTAGGTGAGCCAAAGGGGCTTTTGCTTACTGGACCTTGGTAGTCAGCCTCAGGAGGAGGGATTGGTCAAATAAGGGAATGGGTCTTAGGGATTAGCTCTAGGAATGTAATCTAATCCTTTAGCAAGGCAGAGAGGATTGGGGAGAAGGGCAGGGCCTGCCAGAGCTGTCGCACCTGCTGTGCGGCCTGCATCCAAGAATGTAGCAAGGTGGTCGGGATAGATGACACAGAGACCGGTCGGTTGCTTTAAGAAAACTTTATGCTTCCCAAGTCAGCTTAGGAGGAGACCCCAGTCCGCTTAGTAGAGCTCTCAGGAGAAGTCCCAGGAGAAGTCTCAGGAGAAGTCTCTCTAAGAAAAAAGGAGCTTTTCTTTTTTAAGGACTTCTGCCATTCATCTACATACCATTCTTTTCTCCTGGCTGGTGGTTTAATCTCCGGCCCCAGAATCGGGGAGACACCACAGGGAAACAGGAAGAGGCATCTAGCTGTAGGAGGTGTGAAAGGCATGGTATTTCAGTGAGCCAGCCCTTATCTGAGCCCTATGAAGAGCTTTAAAGCACTGGTTTTCAGTAAACATTACACAGATGCCTGCTCCCAGGCTGAAGGGGAAGTGGGTTTCTGCTCAAGGTCTGGTGTCCCCACACAGAGCCACGTGCTTGAGTGGGCTAGAGTCCCTTCATTTACTGTTCACAGAAAGTCAGATCTACCCTTCTTGACATACCATAGGACAATCCTCAAAATTTCTTCCCAAATAGAATTGTGTGTGTCTGTATTTAGAATTTGTACAGTTCACAGGTGACAGTCCTTGGTAACAGTTCTTTCTAGAGTTCATCTTTCCTTCTCCTTCCAAAACTTGTTCCCTAGCCTTCCCTAACCATGAGGGGCAGGCATCCTCGGTGCAACCATTTTGGCTTTTTGTCTGAGTCTCTTGAGAAATGCAAACTGTTTCAACTGGACACATAAAGGTGGGGAGTAACATATTCCAGAGGGAGTCAGCATCCCGGCCTCTTTGTAACTAGCACAATAACAGATTGATGAGCAAAGGGTATCATGGAAAAGTTTGGAAAGCAAGATCAGTTTGAAGTTCACTGAACATTAACAAAACAAAGAGAGAACCAAAGCCAGATCCACACTGAGGCCAGCAGGTGGTTTGCACCTAGTTGTCCTGGCCATGGTATCAACATGGACCCCTCCAATCTGCCTGGCCTAGACCACCACATGGACGGCTGCCCAGCAGTGTCACCACCATAGGCAAGTGGAGTGATGGATAGCGCACATCTCTAAGCTGTGCCTTCTGTCTCCTCTGCCAGCTACACGGTGGGCACTGTACAGGAGAACAACGACCAGGTCTGGAAGTTCCAGCGGTACTTCCTGGTGCAGGAGTACTGCAACCGCCTCAACATTCCCTTCCCCTTCGTCGTCTTCGCATACTTCTACATGGTGGTGAAGAAATGTTTCAAATGCTGCTGTAAAGAGAAGAACATGGAGTCATCTGCCTGCTGTGAGTGGGCTACCTGGGGCGGGGGTCAGGCTCTAGAGTGGTGGTTCATTTCAGGGGGTGGCGATCTGAGTCACTACAATCGGTTCATTGGATGTCTCTGAAGATCAGGTGTCAGGCCAGCCAGTGCGTGCCTCGAGGGACAGGGTAGGCTGGGAAATACTTCAGGGCTGTTGGGTGTGACTTTGGGACAAACAATAATAACAACATAAGTAAGGTATTTCCCTACTAGGATTCATGATTTTAGGATTTCCTTTTCTTTTCTTTCTTTCTTTCTTTCTTTCTTTCTTTCTTTCTTTCTTTCTTTCTTTCTTCCTTCCTTCCTTCCTTCCTTCCTTTCTTCTACCCCTCCCAACACTATTTCTGTGAAGTTATTTTTTGGAAGATTTAGTCAGACTTTTAAGAGGACTTTTGGGGTTGCTTTTATTAGTCAGCTTTCTCTCACTATAATGAAAAACCTTGGGTAATTAGCTTATAAAGAACAAAGGTTCACTTGGCTCAGTGCTAGAGATTCGAGTTCAAGATTGGGTGGCTCCACTGCTTTGGAGCTGGCAGAGAATGGCTGACAGAGAATGGCTGACAGAGAATGGCTGACAGAGAATGGCTGACAGAGAATGGCTGACAGAGCAGATTACTTATACCGCCAGCCAGAAAGCAGGGGGTGACTCAGAAATGGGTCTCAATATCACCCTTAGGAGAAATGGGTCTCAATATCACCCTTAGGAGAAATGGGTCTCAATATCACCCTTAGGAGCACACTGGACCCTTCCTCTTTAAGGTGTCACCACCATCCCACGGCGCCATCTTGGAGGGCAACCCTTTAACACATGGGAATTTGGGGAAAACTCACTCAACCAGTGTCATTCTACTTCTGGTTCCCAAATCTTCATGTCTGTCTCACAATGCAAAACACATTCATTTCATTTATTGAGATCCATGAAAACTCAGGTGTGAGCCCCTGCAAGTATCTAAGTTACATACTTCTAAGGCTCAGTGGTGGGGCAGACACAGATAAATATTTCTACCCCAGGAAGGAAGGATAAGCAATAGGAAGAAGACAGCAGCTTGAGGCAGAAAACCCAGAAGGGCTAACTTCGAATTCTAAAGGTCCACCCCTGGTGTCTGGGGAACAATGAAGCATAGTGACCTTCCAAAGGGCGGCCCTGCCCCTAGCATTTCACTGGGAACTGCTGCCTGTTTTCTACAGCACACTGTTGGCACCTCTGTATTCCTGGCTCTCCATTATAGCACCACTGTCATGGCTCCATGCCATTCTGGTGCCTGTCCTTTGATAATGGTTGACTGGGTGGGGTGTTCTGGTCATTTGCCCCATGGTATGTGGTGAACATGAACTTACACGACCTTTTTTACATATCATATTGGGCTGACCACTTCTCTTAGATGGAATCCCAAATATTTGGATTCTGAAGATAAAATATCACTCTCCTAGATATGGTAAGTGGCGGCAATTATGGCAAAGTTTAAGTACAAAGAGCCATCATTTTTGTGGGACTCTTTACATTGAACTGGAGGCAAGATACTCATGGCTAACCTTCAGTCCTATCCCAAGACCTGACCTACATCAGAATATAAACACACCCCTAGTTTTCAATTAGCTTGCGGCAGAAGGGATCTTCATACTCTAATGGTAACATCCCAAGCCATTAAATGACACTTTGGGGGTATCATTAACCACAACACATGTGTAATTGTCTTTCTTGATGAAAGTATTTTGACAGTTTGAATAAGTGGCTGTCTTACTCCCATTGTTTTTGCCTTGGAAAATAGACTGATCCATTGCTAACTAAAGAAGTAGAAGTCTTCAGATTCAGGATGGGAACTGCAAGTGCAAATGTAGACTCTGAATGTATTCAGGAACCACATCCAAACATCAGAGGCATTTGGTGACATGCCAGGTCTAGATTTGGTTCCTTCTTGAGATCATGTAGATGAGAGTGTCCCCGGGACCTGGGAGAAGACTCAGGAGCACAATCAATGCCTTAGGAAGGTTTACACATTTTCTTGGGTTTTTTTGCTCCATTGACAAAAGCCTTGCCTCCCAAGCATAAGCACTTGAGTTCAAATCTATAGCACACATATAAAAGACCAGACATGGTGGTACATGCCTGGAATGCCATTGCCGGAGGCAGAGACAGGAGGATCCCTATAGCTTGCTTGCTAGCTATAACCAACCAGTGGACCCCAAGTTTACTGAGGGACCCTGTCTCAAAGAAAAAGGTGGGTGGTGGCTGAGAAAAACCCTTAATGCTTACTTAACCATTGATCTCTACATACATGTATACATTAATGCATGCACACAGATACACAGGCTATGCATACATAGCCCACATGTGAACATGCACTCATACACACACACACACACACACACACACACACACATATATATATATACACACACATACATGCACACGTGTATCTGTTATAATGAGGGTGGTTTTGAATCAGTGTAAAGAACAAAAGCAGAGTCTAACATTCAGTATTTTCCAGAAATGGAATGAGTGTTCTAGAGAAGTGGTTGTCACACTGACTCGGGTTGGGCATGGACTGATGGGGACTGGGTGGAGTACTGGTCCATTCTCTGAGGCTCTGACACACTCAGCCTGGGATCAGCAGAGCCAGGGAACTCAGTGTCAGGAAGGCAGATCAGCTCCTGGCTTCAGGCCCAGCTTAAGGAGAAGGACAAATGCATCACATGGAGGCAAGATAAGAACATCAGCTGGAAGCAGAGCCTCTTGTGTAGCTAGCCAATAGGAAGGAGCTTCCGCCTGGGGAAGCAATGTGTGTCAGGAATGCCTGTTCTTTATGCATCTCCCCAGGGAGACACTGGTAGAGAGGTGCACTATGGACAGTTGGAAGAAGCAATGGTACTGCCCTCTTCCAACAGATCTTACTCTCGGGAGGAGACAAAGAAACAGAGGGACAGGCCTACTCTCCCCAGTGGTGGTGTTGATGGGGAGGGAGCCAGGGCCCAGCTCCCTCACTGGAGGCTCTCCAGCCAGCTTAGTCACTCCATGCTCACTATAATTAGTCACTGGAGACCACAGCACTCTCTCTGCCTTTCCCAGGGGCTCCTGCTGGCATCTCATTCCATAAGCACATTTTGTGTTTGCCTCCAAATGATGGGGAGGTCATTAATTTTGAAATTGCCCTTCTTTGGAGGAAAAACTACGGGATTTTTTTTCAAATAATGCTCAGAAAGTCAGGCTTCAAACTTTCTTTCTTTTTCTCACTTGTTTGGTAATATCATCAAGTCAGAAAAAAAATGCTACTTGGTAATTGCATTTTCTGAAAATATATTGTTTCTTTTCTGATTTGGAAGGCAACATGTACTCTTTATAGAACATTTGAAAAATACAGAAAAGCACGAGGAAGGATTGAGGGTAGATATGACCATCATTCAGAGATAAATGTCAACAGCTGTCACTGATATCTGTGGGAATGTATATTGTCTAGAGTGCAGTATGTATATATATATTCATAGAATAATTGGCTCATTAATATGGCTGATAATACACCACAAGCATGTTTAATACTATAAACAAATAACATCTATGCTAAGAATTTCAACTCTGAAATATTCTAGTGTATGGATGTACCATAGTTAATTTAACCAAGCCTTTATTGTTGAATGTGTAGTGTAATTATGTGTATGCGTGTGTCTCCATGTGAGTGTGTATATAGAAGCCCAGGTGCCTGCAGAGGACAAGGCACTTGATCCCCCTGGAGCTTGAGTGATAGGCAATAGTGAGCTGCACAACATAGGTACTTGGAACCAAACTTAGATCCTCTGGGAGAGCAGCTAACATTCATAACCACCTAGCCATCTCTACAGCCCCTGGTTTGATTCTTAGTAATATATGGTGTCATATTAAAAATTTATATATGTGCATTCTAATGTTAATTCTAGAGAACAGTCTAGATAAAGAATATGTATTATCTCTAGTTCATTGGGTAATGTCTCCCACTGTTTCATCCTCTATTAAGCTGTAACAATGGATGGAATTTTCCTATAAGATGAGTAGGCACTTCTACATATATTTGCTGGCACAAATATATACTCTAGAGCCTGCTAAATTTTCAGTACAGTTGGTGAAAATGCTAGGCTACCAGTTCAGCTAGCCTCTCCCTGGATGTTAAGGAAACAGGCCATTTTTCTTGTCTGTTTGTCATTCTTGTTCTGTCTGCCTGTGTCTAGGAGTTTCGATCTTGTATTGTTGAGTTCTAAGCTTTAGTTTGAAGGAAAGATATTGTAAACTACTCCAAAATACACTTGAAAGGAAATTGGTTAGGAATTATTTTGAAAAGTAATAACAGCCATTTAAAGATAAAGGCATGTTTGCTCTATGGAATTTTCTCAAATCCAGTTACTCACATATTACTTTGATCCCCAATTTTTTTTCAGTTCAGTAAGTCATTAGAATTTATGGACTCTAACATGAGAAGGTACACATTTAAATGATAAGTTAAGGGTAAAACCCACACAAATCACTGGACATGGTGGTACACATCTTTAAACCCAGAACTCGGGAGGCAGAGGCAGGCTGATCTCAGTGAGTTCAAGAGCAACATGGTCTACAAAGTGAGTTACAGGACAGCCAAGGCAGTTACAGAGAAACCCTGTCTTGAGCAAAGAGAGAAAGAAAGACAGACAGAAAGAGAAATCCCAAAACCAAAAAACTAGTCAACCAAAACCACAAATCTATTCCAAGTGGCCACCTACACAAACATCTCTTTACTGTTCCCATGAATTCATGGGGTTTGGTATCCATAAACATTAATGACATTGATGCTGTGCTTGATGCTGTTTTTGTTTGTTTGTTTGTTTGTTTTGTTTGGCCTTCATTTGAAAGGCCCAGACACCATAAGAAATTGAAGTAAGAATCTCCCTGGAACAGTTTTTACAGTTTGCCCTAGCTTAGAAGGAAGGGGAAAACTGGAGCAAGGCTCTCCAGACCACATATTTCAGAGTAGACGCAATGTTATCAGGATACCCTCCTCTAAAGACCTGATTTTAGATTGAAAGTCTGAAAACCTGTAGTAAGCATCCAGCTGAGTGGCTTAGCATTTCTAGGTCATCCAACAGAGAAGTAGGACCACCAAGCGTGGGCACCCAAATCTCTAGTGATCTAAGTCTCAAAAGACACAGATGAGGTTCAAATGGATTTCTATTAAGGATAAAAATTACATTCTCAGTCCACGCAGGCAGCTCCTACCCTCATCCTTAGTGGAAAATCAATTAATATCCCATCACTCTGCTCCTGTCACTAGTAAGAAACGGTAGTCAGATCTGCTAGTGCAGAGTCTCTCGGATGCCTGGCAGGCAGACATGCAACCTGAACGTTTTCCTTTTCTCTTTATTTCAGGTTTCAGAAATGAGGACAACGAGACTTTGGCGTGGGAGGGCGTCATGAAGGAGAATTACCTTGTCAAGATCAACACGAAAGCCAATGACAGCTCAGAGGAGTAAGTCACTCACTTCTGTGACAAGGCGCCCTTTGTATATGTAAACTGGAAGGCTCAAGGCAGGCTTTCTGAGCATTCTCAGTAAGGCATGTTTTCATTGGAGAGTGGTAGTACCTCAAAAATACTACTGAGGCAATTGTAAATGATAACTACTTAGACATATGCCACTCCTTGACACAGGGAGAGATCACACCTCAGTTAATCTGATTGTTCCCCTGAAGAACATGGGATAGAAAGTCCTTGGAGCCTGCACTTTCTCTTGGGACAGTGAGACATCCTGTGTTCAAGGTGCTGAGATCTTGAGTGTAGAAGGAAAGACATTTTTGGTTGTAAGCTCAGCCTTTAACAGCTGAGCCAGGTGGTGGTGGCGCACACCTTTAATCCCAGCACTCAGGAGGCAGAGGCAAGCAGATCTCTGAGTTCAAAGCCAGCCTGGTCTACAGTGCAAGTTCCAAGGCAGCCAGGGTTACACAGAGAAACCCTATCTTAAACAAAAAAAAAAAAAAAAACAAAAAAACAAAAAAAAAGAAGAAAAGAAAAAAAAAACAGAAGACGAGGAAGAAGAAGAAGGGTAGCCATTAGCATCCACAGAGCCAAGAAACAAGAGTCACAACAGCAGATTGTAGTTCCAGGAAGACTCAGAGGTCATGGACAATCGCATTATCTTGCAGGGGCCACTGGCACATTTATCTCTGCAATGCTGAACTACAGAGGCAGAAGGTGGCTTGTTACAAGCTATCTATCAAGTGCTGACTGTCATTTTTAAATTGTGTGGGGCTTTTATAAATCCCTATGTGATTCCCCCCCCCCCCCCGTGCCTCCCCCAGTCAAATTTCTTTGACTGGACATTGGTCAAGTCTGCAGATAGTATATAAGTAGTGTATTACGGAGTCTTTGAAAACCTGCTCTTCCTATTGTGGAGGCTGACCTTCTTCAGTGACAGCTGTCACTTTTCCTGAGAGGTTAAACACACCTCAAAAAATATTCTAACCAGTAGGAGTAAATATGAGTGCAACTAATCTCTTTTTCCTGAGACAGCACGGATGCCTGTATTCTAGACTCCCATGCTTTGGATGTGGAGCAAAGTAGATCTTCTGAGTCAACTCTCACCACCCTGTCAGCAGATACAGCATAACTTCTGTCTTTCTGTTTGGGATGAGGAAGGAATTCTGCTTTGCTTGGGGATGAGGAAGAAATTAGAGAGATAATGCAGCTGGTGCTGGCCTGAGCCCAAACTGAAGACTCTCTCCTTTGAGAGATGGGAATGGGGCCAAAGAGCCCCCCTCAGACACTTTGTCTTAGTTTATTTTCTAATCTCCTTTGCAGGATGAGGCATCGGTTTAGACAACTGGATACAAAGGTATGGTTCAGAGTTCCGGAATGATTTATTTTATCTTTAATGTCTTTGAGTTTTCAGATGTAGGCTCGTGTGTAGGGTCAGAAAACAAAAGGAGATATGCACTGTTAAAAAATTAGACATAGTTCTGTTTAGCTGTCTGCATGATTCACCTAGGAGCTGGGAACTGGAGCAGAATTATTTCTTAAGCTCCCAGCCCTCATGTAGAATAGCCCAGAAGTGTCACTTCCATTATATTTAACTGTCAACTTGACACATTCTGAAATCACCTTGAAGAGGGTCTGAGTGAGTAACTGTCTAGATCAGTTTGTCCTTTGGACATGTCTGTCAGGGACTGTTTTAATTACATTAATGGATGAAGAAAGACCCAGTCCACTGTGGGGGGCACTATTCCCTGGGTTTGAGTTCTAGAGTTATAAGAATAGAGTATAGTTTAGGTATGCATGTATTCATTTTCCCAGTTCTTACTGTGGATGTGATATGACTAGCTCCCTCAAGCGTCTGTCGCTGTGAATATATTTAAGGTATACAGTTGGACATTTTGATGCCTGCATGCATCGCAAAATGATTACCATAATCATTGTTGGAAGCCCTAGACACACAGTGCATTGCCTCCCACATCCTATGAGTTGTCTCACTGCCTCTGCCTCCCTTTCTGTCACATTCTCCGCCCTCTTTCTTCCCACTCTGAACAAACAAAATTCTGTCTTTTCCATTCATAGAATTTTGGAGATTATGTTCTGAATTTTGGTTTCTAAAGCAAGAATTTAGCATATTTTTGCTTTCCTTTTAAATTGATTTTGTTTTAAACAGCTCCATTGAGACATTATTGTCACAAATTCAATATATTTGAGGTATACAGCTAGATATTTTGATTCAAGTATACACTGCAAAATTATCAGCACAACACAGTCCAACTAATTTACATGCTTACACAGTTGCTATCTTCATGTGTTCTAGGATTCAACTTAAGATGTATGACCTCAGCACATGGCATGTATATAGACATATTAATGTCTAGGTTGATATTAACTTATGAATACAGTATAATAGTAATCGTTCTCACCTCAGTGTACAGTAGATCCATTGGCATTCCTCCCTTAACCTCTTTGGCTATTTTAGGTTGTACATGGGAGTGAGATCATGTGGGAGGGAATTACCTGTCTATGCCTTGCTTGTTTTACTCAGAAGTGTCATCTGGACCATCTGTGTTCCTACAGATGGTAGAATTTCCTTCCTTTCTTCAAGGTGAATTGTTCTCCACTGTACACAATCCGCATTTTCCTTACCTGTCAATCTATTGATAGACACTTGAGTTATTTTTGTGTCTGTGACTAGTGCTGCAGTGAACTGGACAACATACAAGCTGCCTTTTCCTCCTGACATCAGCTCTTCAGCTGGGTACTAGGAGTGGGGTTGCTATGTTGTTTTTAATGTTCTGAGTAACTTCTGTATTGTTTTCCATAAAAAAATACCAATTTTACCAAATTCATCCATTTTTTTCCATGAAAGGTTTTTGGTGGAGCCCTTGTTACAAGATATTATTTAAACCCCCTATACAAACAGAACCAGATAGTTTTTATTTCCTTTTCTTACCTGATCACATGGGCTAGGACTCCCAACACCATTTAGAATAACAGTGGTGAGCATTCTTGTCTTAAGGTATTAGAGATGATGGGATGTTGAATACAGTGATAGGATTCTTTCTTCATAGTCTTTATTGTGTCTAAAAAACCCTTACTTTCTTGAAAGGAAATCTGGAGTTCTCTGCTGATTTTTCTGCATCATGATGTATGGATCATGTTGAATATGTCTTCCATTTTGTTCATTTAGTTTAGCATACCCATTTGTTTTCATGATGAACCATCATTTTGGTTTTTCAAGACAGGGTTTCTCTGTGTAGTCTTGGCTGTCCTGGAACTCTCTCTGTAGATCAGGCTGGCCTTGAACTCACAAGAGATCTGCCTGCCTCTTCCTTCCAAATGCTGGGGTTAAAGGCGTGTGACACCACTACCTGGCATGCAGAACCATTCTTATAACCCAGGGATAAATCACACTTAGGGTGTGTGGTGGTGATTTTAATGTGTCCTTGAATTGAGTTCCATTGTTTTTATTTTAATTCTTTTTTATTTACATTAGAAACAAGTTTGTTTTACATGTCAATCCCAGTTTCCTCTCCCTCCCCTCATCCCCTGTCTCCCATTAACCCCCTATTCCGTCCCATTTCTGCTTCCCAGGGAGGATAAGGCACTTTCACTATTTGCAGATGATATGACACTTTACATAAGTGACCTGAAAAACCTTACCAGGGGACTCCTATAGCTGATAAACACCTTTAGCAAAGTGGCAGGATACAAGATTAACTAAAAAAAAATCAGTAACCCTATTATATACAGATGATAAATGGGCTGAGAAAGAAATCAGAGAAACATCACCCTTTACAATGGCCACAAACAAAATAAAATATTTTGGGGTAATGCTAAACAAACAAGTGAAAGACTTGTATAGCAAGAACTTTGTGTCTTTAAAGAAAGAAATTAAAGAAAATACAAAAAAACAGAAAGATCTCCCATGCTCTTGGATAGGTAGGATCAACATAGTAAAAATGGCAATCTTGCCAAAAGCAATCTACAGATTCAATGCAATCCCTATCAAAATACCAGCACAGTTCTTCACAGACCTTGAAAGAACAATAATTAACTTTATATAAAAAAACAAAAGACCCAGGATAGCTAAAACAACCCTGTATAATAAAGGAACTTCGTGATGTATCATCATCCCTGACCTCAAGCTCTAATATAGAGCTATAGTCCTGAAAACAGCTTGGTATCAGCACAAAAACAGACAGGTAGACCAATGGAATGTAATTTAAAACCCTGATTAATCCACTTACCTACAAACACCTGATTTTTGACAAAGAAGCTAAAAATTATACAATGGAAAAAAGAAAGCATCTTCAATAAATGGTGCTGGCATAACTGGATGCTGGCATGTAGAAGACTGCAGATAGATCCATATCTATCACCATGCACAAAACTTAAGTCCAAATGGATCAAAGAACTCCCTATTGCTTTATTGATGCTTTTGTGTTTTTAGTCACTGGGATGTTTGCCTGTAGTGCTCTTTTCTGTCTTTGTCACATCTGGGGAACAGAGTAATTTTGGCCTCATACAAGGAGCCTGGAACCAATCCCTCTTCTATTTTGTGAAAGAGTCTAAACAGGATAAGAGTCTAAATGTTGGGTGATATTCACTCATGAAGCCATCTCTGTTCTTGAACTTCTCTTCCTTAGGAACACTTTGACACTGAGTCTTTCTCCTTGCTTGCCCCTAGTTTGTTTGAGCTTTGTATTCTTTAAAAATAGTTATTACATTTTAGCGGGGTGTGTGTGTGTGTGTGTGTGTGTGTGTGTGTGTGTGTGTGTGTGTGTGTGTGTGTGAGTGCACATGGGTGTGGAGGTCAGAGAACAACTCTTTTTATCTGGTTCTTTCCTTCAACTGTGTAGGCCTGAGTGATTGAACTCAGGTCACCAGGCTTAGTGGCAGGTGCCTTTGCCTGCTCAGCTCTTTTGTAGACCTGGGTTCTGTATTCTTGATTCAGTCTTGTTAGGCAGTATATATTTAGAGAAGCCCTTGGATAAGCAAGGTTCCAGTACCAGAGTGGCTAGAAACCTGCCTTAGTGGGAGGTTAAAAGGATTGGATGGAGGTGCTTAAAGTGTGTCTTTCATGAGACACTTGTTTTGTCTGGCATGTGGCTAATGACCTATGACCAGCCTGTCACTAGAGCAGGAGTTTTATATGTGCCGACAGGGGCCTTTGTGGTCCTTGTCTAACCAGGTGTGGTTTGTACCTGTCTGGCCATCACTCTAGTTATGGGAACCTGTTAGACTGTGTTTTTACCACATCCAGGGAAAATCCAGGTCTGAGCAATACCTGGTTCTTTAAGTCAGCACACCACTACAACAGAAACAGTTTTTATTGCAGTCTAGCTAAAGGTTTGTTGGTTTTATCTTTTCACAAAACCAACTCTTAGTTTTGCTTATTTTTTCTATTTTTGTGTTTCGCTGTGCCACTTATTTTATTGTGAGAGTCTTCTGCTCTCCTTGAAGTGGTTTATTATAATACCTTTTTCCTAGTAACAAAGTCCCCTGGTGGGGAGGAGCAAAGCCCTTTTCCATCGCATTATATCTGAAATAAAGTTATTCATAGCTGTTCTGAAGCCCGGAAGTAGCTTGTCACTGTGCAGTGTTCACTGAGGCAGCTGGAAGCCATCATGGTTTCTCTTTATTTTTATTATTACTGTTTATTATTATTATTATTAAAGAAAGAGGTTTTCACTGGAAACAAGCCCAACCTCCACATTTCCCCCTTCCTCCCCAGTAAGTCACCTACCAAGCCAGGAGCCAACCACACAGAAATTAGAAGCTGTCCATGCACTTTTATAAAGTGCATCGAGGTGGCACATAACTTAAAACAAGGCTACAGGCCTCATATAATATGTAGAATAATTTTATGTATAAGTTATATAAGTTACATTTTGGAGTTTACTGTATGTGTTAGGAGGCATACAATCATATCTTACTAGTATTGTCATATTTTTGTTAATGGTATATGTTTACATAGCAAAACTTCATTTATATATTATTAGTAATGTCTTACGTACATTTATATACATTACTCCTGTACCATCATCATTTGCTGAGTCTAGGAGGAAAGAAACCTTTTTGACTTGCATTTCATGAAGCTGATGTTGATTTGTTTGCTAACTGCTAATCATAAGTAAGCAATAAGCAGGGTCTGCCCTGTATACATTTACTTTTTAAAGTACTTGTCATTTAAAATGGAATGCTGGAAATTTGTCTTAATACCGAATTCTTTTTCTCTCCCTTCCCAAGCTCAATGATCTCAAAGGTCTTCTAAAAGAGATTGCTAATAAAATCAAATAAGGCAGGTGAATGCTCATGGAGAGAAATCAAATTACAAGGTGAGTTGTCTATCTTTTTTCTTTTCTGAAAATTTTAGTGTTTTAAGGATATTTTAAAATTGTGGTGGTTCTCTCATTTATTTTATTTTTGTTATCAGCTTTGACAAGAAAGCATTGTACAAAAAAAACCACCAAGTAAGTCACAGTCTAGAGACAAAGGAGTGGGAGTTCCTCCTCCTGTCCTTCCCTGATGGTGGCCCTAGGGCGCAGTCAGCCCCTGAGTCTGTCTAACTCTTGCCATTCTTACAACCATTTTCACATAGTGAAATGAGGTCATACTGATCTAATGCGTATTTTCTTCCTTAATACTTCCTATTTTTCTCTTTCTTAATACTTTATCATAGATATTTTTGTGGGAACATGCCTAAAATATTCCTTATTCTCATGGTTTCTTATGTCTATTGCTGTTGGGTAGGTAGATGTGTACTGATCACCTTTTTGCTAACTGAAAATGTTCCAGTGGGGCAATGGAGGGTTTTAACATCTCATTTGCCCAATAATGTGTAATTCAATTAATTGGCAAAATTGAACTCAAGGCGTTGCTCCAGCAACTTGCCATTTGTTTTAATCATGTTTTCTCAGAACATGTCCAAATGTTGAAAATTTTAGGGGCATAGAGAGGAAGGGGAAGAGGCACACAGTAATGGTGTTCCATTTGTCTCCAAGTAAGCTGTAAGGAATAGAAACGGTGAAGACCTCCCTTCTCGGCAGAGTGGGGCAGAGGGCTTGGACTGTGGTGTGCTGGCTTTTTGCACTGACCCTTCATTCATCCCTGTGCGGTTCTTTGGCACTGGCCTCCTGTGCTACCCTTTAACCTAACCCTTACCTGCAGTAAGTATTAGAAAATAGAATAGTTCCCTCTGCAGAGTGACTGGTCATGCTGCAGGGAAGTTCTGGTGTCTTTGGCCATTCCCCTGTGTTCCTTGAGTGCTGGCAGTCAGAGCTCATATCTACAGACCTCCATTATGGAAGACTTGTACCTGATAGAGTCTGAAAGCTGAGAGCCACCTCCTGAGGGTTCTGAAGAGTTCAGGCCTTGAGTACTCAGGAAGAATCCATTTCACAATGGATTCACAATTACACCTTCACAATGATGTTTCACTCAAAAAATTAAAGTTTAAAACAAATTGCACTTTGGACTTTGAAACAGATTTTCTTAATGCATGAACTGAAGAAACCAGGAAAGAACAGGCAAAACAAATGATGAAAACAAATCTAAATGTGATTAAAGAGTTGAAATAATCACAAAAGATTAAAATCCTCACTAGTACACCCACCCAGAAAGCTGAGATTGCGTCTTCCTTTCAGCTATTTGACTTGAGATGGGCAAACAGACCAGCCTTTGACTCACCTGCTCTGCACTTAGCTTTGGCCTTTGTTAATATGCTCAGAGTTAATGGAAGGGCGAATAAAAACTACTTCCAAGGGTGTGACATTTACTCTTGTATGTGTGCCCCGTGTGCACAGTGTGTGTGTGTGTGTGTGTGTGTGTGTGCATATGAGAAAGACAGACAGAATGGAAACAGAATCTAAGAAAACAAGTGTCAAAGCCAGATGTGGCCGTGACACTTGTCATCTCATCACTGGGGAGGCAGAAACGGGAATCTCTGTGTTTGCTGGCCAACCAAATCAGAGAACTGTAGGGTGTGAGAGGCATTGTCTCAAACAAAACAAAACAAAAAAACAAGGTGGACAGCATCTGAGGAACGTCACCTGAGGCCGACCTCTAACTTCCATATTCACAGGCCCACACACACTAACACACAAATACACACACTGACACACACTAAAATATACCCACTGACACACACTAATACAGTAACATCCATTGACACACACTAGCACATATACTGATACCCTAACACACACTAATACAGTAACATCCACTGACACACACTAACACATATACTGATACACTGACACACTAATACAGTAACATCCACTGACACACACACACTAGCACATATACTGATACCCTAATACACACTAATACAGCAACATCCATTGACACACACACTAACATATATACTGATACCCTAACACACACTAATACAGTAACATCCACTGACACACACTAACCCATACACTGATATACATATTGAGACATACCAACATACATGAACACACACACTAGCACATGCACTGATACGCTAACATACTAACACACACAATAACACGCAAACATACACTGGCAAACACGGTAACACACGAACACACATACTAACATGCAGTAATATACACATTTACACAGAATAACAAACACTGTCACACACACTGACACACACACACTAGCATATGCTAACATGTACACTGACACACACTAACATGTACTAACACATACACTGACATGCACACACAGAAGAAAATATATGTCCCATGAATTTCACCCAGTGACATCTTTAGAAATGAGTTTGTCAGATGGCATTTTTGCATACATTTTTCTTCTAGGTGAGTTCTTTCTTGATATTCATACCCTTAAGAAAGTTTTACTGGCCGCCAGTCCTGAACGTCTTAGACTCTAGTCTTCAAGTGTCTTTTGGTGTTTCTTTCTCAGAGGGCTCAGGGTCATTACCTTCCCCTGGGACAGCATGACAGGCAGAGAAAGTCAACCTCGGTGGAGTGAGAGCTGGTACAGGCTGGGGTTGGCAGGCAGGCAGGTGCTTAGCATTTCTCCCATCTTCACCCCTGCCTGGGTCAGGATTGGTCCCAGCCCTTGTGCCTGTTTTTTCTTTCTCCTACACTGTGGCTGGAGGTAAGACTCCAGAGCAAGGCTCTTTGCTTTCCCTACTTTTCTACCTCTGGAGTAGGCAGCCTCTCCCAGCACCACCAGGAGGCGGGGGTCCTTGGAGATGGCCTGTTTTCTAGAGAGCGGGCTCCTGGCTGCATCATTTCACTTTCTGAAAAAGAAAGCTTTTGATGATCCTTTGCGAGTCATTTGAAAACTGCATTTTGATTAGCGTTCTGGTTTTCAACTTGATTATTTTGTATTTCTGATTTCGTGGAGCCATCGCTGAGCAAATGAAGTTCTTATTGGTTCTCTGAGACTTTACTTAGATGGGATGTGTTGGGCCTGGCTCAGTGAACCTCACGCAGCTTACACGGGCTGATGCCCAGACAAGCACAGCTCGTGTCACAAGCTAACCTCTTGGTGGTGGTGGCATGCTCACACCTCTTCCCAGCCTATGTTGAAGCAAGCCTCTGCTATCAGAGAGTAGAGGTGAGGAACTTTATTTTGAGTTCACATCTTCTTTGTTTTAGCAGGTAAAATCAGCCATCTGGATTGGGAGGCTCGTGGGACACTGATGGACGGTACTGCCATTGACTTCTGAAGGAGACTTTTCCAGGTTCCTAAGCACATAGCTGGTGATCACCCTCAAGGACAGAAGTCAGGGAGCAGAGTGTGTGGAGGACTTTGCTCACAAAGAGGACTATGGAGGTTCACATGTTCCTCTGTGATCGTGCCTGCACTATCTGCATCTCAGAGCCTTGTCCTGACATCAAGTGTTCAAGTGTTCATGTACCTTCTTTGTCCCACGCATCTCCTATGACATGATCTCAATTTTATACCTAGACTGTCATTATTTTCCACTTTCCTCTTTTCTACACTGTATGATGAATTCATTGACATATTGTTAAAAAGTCCTACTCCTGCCCCCAATCATGCCAGATTCTAAAATATCCTAGGGCACAGTCAAAGGAGGGACACCGAGGCAGGGACTTTCTCTTGGGCTCACCATGACTCCTGCTGAAGGGGTCACCTGTGGTTACCAGTATGAAAAGTCACCAGGAAGAAACCCTTGAGAGGCGTTCTTGCTCATTTTGTCTTCACTGGGTGTGCCTCTCCTCTCCTCTCTCATTTCCCTATTGAAAATAGCAAATGGATATTACAGGGAATTAGCATAAATGTACATAAACAATCTCCCACTCCCTCGAGTAACACACTTTTGTGTGTTTGCGCAAGTCTGGCTTTTTCTATGCATGGTATACTCCACTTTTAAAAATCTTACAAAACATCATCATCTGCATATACTGTTTTGTATAGGGCTTTTCATCAACTATTTCATCAAAGATGTTTTCTTCACAGTCTTCTTAAGCATTATCAGTAATTCACTAATACTCAAACCTCTAGCAATTTCCATAACGCAGGTCATTGATAGCTGACTCCACCTGGCCATCAAAATGGACATCTCTGAGCTCGAGTCTTCTTTCTGCATTAAGAACGTCAAGAAACATCCTATCCAGGACACTCGATTCTTTGGAATATCTGTTGCTTATCAAACCATTTACAAGGCTTTTTCTCACCAGTGTATGGCAAAATAGCAATTACTGACTTATAAGTAAGGCATAAGATATGTGGAGCTCTCTTTATTAGGACATGATATTATATTTAACCCTTATTTTAGGAAGAAGCCAGTGTTCTTGTTTAGACATTGTGGAGTATGCAGGCAATTGGTGCATACTTCCAGTGGTTATCTCGATGAACACTCCACTCCTAGCTGACTTGAACTGGTGGAATCTGGGCTAAAAGATGTACTAGGATAACATAAGGCGCTTTAGCACTTGTAATTAGCTTTTAAGCTTTTTCAGAGCATGTACACTCAGGGACCGAAGGAGGGACCCTCAGCAGGAAGCCACTAAACGAATATTTAGATAGACTGAAGCATTAACACAGATAGATGTGTTTATTTTTATTTTGGTCTGGCTGGTTATTCACGCCCCGCATAATGTTATCAGAGACTGGAAGAATAAAGAATGCCTGTTACTTAAACCCACCCTGGCCTCATGGGGCTCTCACTCATCAGAATTTCAGAAGCAAAGAGTTGATGGGACAAATTTGCAGTAGATGGAGTGAGAGCATTCAACTTCCATTTCACTCTGATGATCAAGGTGCTGCTGACACCATGAGGAGGAGGGGACTTTCAAAACCTAAAATCCATGACAGCACACAGACTGTGTGAACAGAAGTCCCATGCCCTTGCCTTTAACTCAAGTAAGGAACCTGAATAAAAGAAGTAAATGAAATTTAAAATTCCATGTAAGACCAAGTAGCCTAGTCAACCTGCCCATCCCCACTTAATGAATGTGTCCATGTGTTCATAGTTCATGCTGTGTCTCAACTGGCTTAAGAAAACAGTCTTTGCACACACTATGCTCCCCTTGGCCCTAAAGAAGAATTGGACAATGCTCAGATTTTTTTCTCATTCAGTGTAGCACAATCAAGTTTCCCAATGGTCTCTCCACATGTTTACACTGCAGGATGTGTGCTCATGTGACATCATTGTTCCTACTGCATCTCATGAATATCACCTGTGTTGGATATTTGTCTGAATCAAAGGTGCTAGCTACATCCTTCGGTCTGGTACTAACCGTCTCTAGGCTTGTGCACAACTCCAGAGAATCCTGCAACATGGCTTCAGCCAGTATGTGAGAACATTAAACCATGGTGGAATTGTCTTGACTCTGTGTGTGTCATTCTAGTGAGAGTGAAAAATAAAAGTCATTCACTGAGTTACCGTCATTCCTATGGGGATTTGGTTCAGAGTTTCTGGGTGGATAACTGGACCTCTCTGGTTGCAAGCAGAAGCAAGTGCACTGTGGCCGTACTTGGCATCAGATTTAGAGTCTGTGGTCTACTGTTCGGTAAGTGTATTAACTGCTTTCCGTTGATGTGATAAGACACCGTGATCAAAAGTAACTTGTAGAAGAGTTTATTTGGGCCTATGGCTTTAGAGGGAGAAGAGTCCATCATAGCGGCAGGCAGTAGGCAGTGGGCAGCAGGCATGGTGACAAGGGCAGAAAGCAGAGAGCTCAGATCCTGAGCCATATACACAGATCAGAGAGAGCAAGCTAGAGGTGACAAGGAAATTTTAATGTCAAGACCAGCCTTTCTTCATAAGGACCACACCTCCTGAACCTCCCCAAACAACAACACCAGCTGGGGATCAACTGTTCAAAACCACCTCAATAGGTTGTGGTTAGGCACCTAAAGGTGGGGTATTAATGAATTCACTAGACCCAAGATAAAAGATAAATGGGTGTTTTATTGGGGAACAACTCACACAGATAACAGGAAAGAGCAGCCGTGGTGTTCCTGCTACAGAAGATGCAGTCTCTGCCCTTGCAATGCAATCTGCGACCCAAGAGAGAGAGCCCCCACATGAAGTCACGCCCAAGGGGTGTGGCCACTAACACAAATTCACTAACAAGGCAAGATGCTACTCCAGGCACCCATCTATATCTTCAGGGTCTCCAGCTTCACTGAGCCAGAAGTACCACATCGTGTTACCCATGTTCTGTGAGGTTACAGGAGTTTAGATTTAGGTGGGTCGGTAGGCTGGCAGAGTACCCTGGGCTAACATGGAGTCTTTCATCCATAATAGAGCCACCTGTGCCCAGTATGGGACTAGCGTTGCTTGATACAGTTGTGTCCCTGCTAGTATTCCTGAGACCTTCTGCTCCAAAGGCACAGTTTTGTTTTTTTTCAGGAGGAACCAAGGAAATGCATCTTCCCTCACCTGCTTCTTTGTGGTCCACGGGAGACTGAGCATGTGGTTGTCATGGAGACGGTTATTGCCTACAGCCTCTGTCTTTAAAACAAGCTGCTCAGAAGTCGGGCCCTTGTTCTGTGATGGAACTGGGCATCCTTTTCCCTCTGCTCCAAGCATGGGGACATGGTCCTTTATTCTCCTGAAGACAAAAATTTCAGTGATTGGTGGTTTACCCCATTTTGTCTGAGCAGACACCTCTGAAGTTTAGCTGGGCACAGCTGGGCTATGCACCAGTATATTTGGTCAGTTTGCATTTTCCCCCACAGGAATCTTGTTTATCAAGTTCCCCTCGCTCCTCATATACGGACGTGTTTTTGGATGTCTCCTGTGAACACTTCTTTGGGAAGAGAATGGCTCAAAATAATCGGAGGAATTGGCAGGCTCTGCTTTCCACCATTTTATAACCTTCTCAGCTGGAACAAGTGAACCTAAGACAGGGAGTCAACAACACCAAAAGGTGGAATACTAACTAAATGCAGGGGTGGGTTCGAACACAGAGGGACCCAGAATGACCGTGGGAGGATGAAGAGGTCTCTTCGGGTGCAGCCTGGCTGTAGCATTGAGATTGGCTTCCTCTGAATTTCTCAAGAAGAGCATCTGGTGTCTGCCATGTAGAAATGCCTCAAGAAACAGGATGGAGTGTGGACAGGGTGTGTGATGGATGGTGGGTAGGGGCTGCTAGGCATCAGGCAGGCATGGTGGGGCATTTGATGTTGTTGGGGAGTATTGTGAATGAAGGGAGAAGAGGGAGCAGCTGGAAAGGAATAGGTTAGGGGAAGGAGTTGAGGGGAATATGTTTAGGACCCCTCAAATGTGTGCGACAGTACAAATATTTTTAAAGATAAATGCAGTTTTAGGTTGACCTAAAACTCAGGTTAGAATACTTGTCCAATATCTGTGGAGGTCCTGGGTTTGAACCCCTAGCACTGCATTTATATATTCACACATGCATGACACACATAATATAAAGTAATCAGACCAGGAGGTCACATAGAATCTTCTAGAACATGGGACACGTTATGCCAGGTTGGGAGGTCCTTTATCTCCATCATGTTAAAAGATAAATTCCTGGGATTCTGGGTGGAGCCTCCTTTCTCCATCCTTCAGTGGCTCCTCACTATCCTGCCCTGTGCCCTAATACAGAATACTGGGGGACTCAGTTGCCCCGCCTTACCTCTGTAGGCTCATTGTGTGACAACTCATGGCTATCTCATGTCAAGGCAGCTGTCTGGGCATAAATGTCATGGTAGTGGGCCCCAAGAGTCCTCTTCCCCTGTGCTGAGTGGCATGTCTTCCCAGCAGGAACTGACCACTGGCGTCCCAAGCACTCCATCCCCCAGGGAGAAGATCAAACTACGAGTGTCGAGCTTGTTCCTCATCGATTATTCCTGGTGGATCTGGTAGAAAACTGTAGACATTCTCTTAGTGATAACGGGACAAGTTGCCTTCACTGTGAGCTTCTGTGGCTGAGGAGACCATGCAAATGTTATGTCTTGATTTTCTCGTCTGTAGAGTGGCCTCCTTTCCTCAGAGGGTAAGAGCATTTGATGGGTTACTGGCATGGTACTTTTTAAATATCCCCTGTAAGCATTCCTTACTCCCACCTTCTCTACTACTCCTCTTATCTCAAGTCTCTTCACTCTTTTTCCCTGGGGCAAACTCTCATGCTTCTGTCAGAGCCCAGCTTGAAAGTCACTGCCTCCAGACAGCCTACCTTGAAAACCTCTGCTCCCTGAGCAGCCTCTGGCATTTCTGTCCCGTGAAGCCTCCCTGACTCCTTCACTCAGGTACCCGTGGGTTACTAGTGTTAGATGAAAACTTCAGCGCCTTGACAGACCTATAGCCCATTCCTTATCTGCCATCCTCTGTTTAGAATGGCCCCTAGTGGGGCTGTGGAGTTCTTGAGGGAGAGACATTGTCCAGCTGGTTTAGTTCATTCATTCTGTATGGACACTGCAGTTGGCCAGTAAGGGCTGTGTGGTTGAATGGCACCATTCTTCACCATGTCCTGAGGTGCCCTCCAGGCTCCTGTTCTTTCTCTTTTCTTGCCTGGTTGAAATATTTCTCAGCCCTAACTAAGCACACCTATTTCCTCATGTTCCCAGCCTACCAATTTTTCCTCACACAAGGATGGAAGCCAGTCTGCAGAATTGATGATAACTCTGGCAGCCTGTCTGTGAGGTACTGTGGCCACTGTGCAGAAGCTGTGGCAGGGTTCTCTAGAGCCAGTGGATGGTGTTTATTATGAGGCTGGGAAGTCCCACAATTCACCATTTGTGGTGATTTGTAGCTCCACCCCAAGTCCTGTCTTATAAACCAGGGCTAAGAGAGGGCTCAAGTCCCAGTCCTGGGGCCAGGAAACGACTATAACGCAGCTCACTAGTCAGAAAGGGGGTGCAGCCTCTCTTCCTGTTTCTGACATGACCAGGTCTTCTGAGGACAGATGATACCTTCCACCCTGGGGGAGGAAATGTCTCTATTGATTACAGCAATGTGTATACTAATCCTATCCTGCAATACACTCCCAGACACCCAGAAATAACACCCAGTCAACTGGACAGAAAAATCACCATCGCAGGACTCTTTCCCCTCTGAATCAGGAGTTTTTACAAGATAAATACCTGGACTTTTTCATTTATATATTAGTCCACACACTTGTCATAAGTTGTATACATTGCTGTGGTTGGGTACAGCCCTGAATCCGTAGTAAACAGCTGTCTACCATAGCTGTCATCCAGTCATGAGACAGGATGATGCTTTAGTAAAAGGGACGTGGAAGCAAAAGGGAGGCTCCCAACTAGCCCTGAGGAAGAAGGCAGGGAGACATCCAGGACCCATGATGGCGGAATGGAATTTATTGACAAGGAAGGGTTGAAGAACAGAGAATGCAGGGTGGCCAGTGGTGGAGAAGTCAAGCTCTCATTGTCTCTCTTGGGTTCAAATGTCACCTCTGGAACGCTTTGTAGTCCACCATTGTGCTATGTCAGCTATTAGAGCTCACAGTCACTGGCAGACTTTGCACTGTCCGTCTTCTGGGAAAATGTTTCATGATGACAGCATGTGCAATCAGCCTTTACCTGTCATGGGTGGTTTTCCAGTGGAAATAAAAGCAACTGCTCAAGGAACTGTATAGGGTGTGAGGGTTCTACGGGGCACAGAGGACTGTCCAAGTATGAGGGTATTGAAGCCCATCTCCTAACCCTCAGCCTGGAGTGCACTCTTCATGCAGCATAAGGCTTCATTAGCATTTTAAAAATAACAAAACTTCAGGCCTCTACATTAAGAAAGAGTCCAGTAGCACTTTTAACACAGGAGGCCAGGAGTAGTGTGAGTAATAATTTTAGTAAATAAACGTAGAATTCCACATGCTCTGGGTTTGCACTGGGTCCTCTGCATACTTGCTATGGTTGTTTAGCTTGGGGTTTCCTGGGAACCCTAACAGTGGAACTGGAGTGTGTCTCTGACTCTTTTGCCTGTTCTTAGGACCCTTTTCCTTGCACTGGGTTGCCCATTCCAGCCTTGACATAAGGGTTTGTGTCTAGTTTTATTACATCTTGTTATGTCATGTTCAGTTGATGTTATTGGGAGGCCTGCACCTTTCTCAAAGAAAATGGAGGAGCAGTGAATCTGGGGTAGAGAGAAGTTGTGAGGGGAAACAGGGAGGAGTGGATGGAGAGGAGGTTTCAGTCGTAATGTACCATGTGAGAGAAGAATAAAGAGGAAAAAAAGTCCACATGCTCATTTGGCCTATTGCTTTCAAGTAAAATGTATGACTACTAATAACCACAACTCTAATACTAACTGATGTTTCCCAATCTCTTGGCCCTCGGTGGCGAGATGTTCCTGTCCCTGGTGGCTGTGGTCCTCTCCCAGCCCCCACTTATCCTCCTCTCCTTTTGCTTCAATGCTGGCACATGCCTGCAATGCCTTGTTCATGTTTCTCACATGAGTGAAGAATAAAAGAGAGGTC